TTTACGATATAAGGAATACTTTTGATGGCTAGACGAAAAATAACCGCATTTTTAAATAAGACTGATTTTACGAAATTCTAAGAATTTTTTCATTAAGAGAGATTTCTTTTGGCCTCGATTGGAGGATATAGATCTGGCAAACATGTTTTTCCAACAGGATGGCGGCACGAACAATGTCATGATAGCAGAAAAATTGGCCAGCGAGATCATGTGATCTTTCTCCTTTGGATTTATTTCTATGTGGGTATGTCTGAGAGTCTGGTGTATGCAAATAAGCCTCAAACTATTGAAGCACTCAGAGACAATATGCGACACGTAATTGGCGAAATACAACCCGATCTCTGCCTGAAAGTAATCCAAAATTGGGATTCTGTAATCCAAAATTGGGATTCTGTTTTATTTTCTCAGTGTACACGATTACTTAATGAGTAAAGCATGAACGTAAACATAGACCACAGATTAAATAACACCTCCCTTATTTCAACGATATGTATATTAATTGGTATTTATAATGTGTAGGGCTTATTCTATTAAATGAACCATATAATAATCAAGAGCTGTTTAATAATAATAAGGCCTTAATGTACAGTGGAAGTGTAATAATTTATATCAAATTTCCAATATGTTGCAGTAATTCAGTAAATTAAGGCAAACAACAAGGCGGGCTAGGTAGTTGATGCTATGATAAGGGCTAAAGGAAAATCAAAACAAAGGCACAATGTTGTAAAAGCCTTGGTGTTTTCTTTTCTTATTACCAACTAACAAGTATGCATTTAATGTTTCAACTTTATACCGCGCTTTTAATTATTAAATTAATACATAGTTTTTTCCCGTTCCCTTTGTTCCGCAATCCCGTGTTACAGTTTGTAATCTGACGCATGATCCAGATAATGAAAGGAAGAAGAAGGAAGTTTTTGCTCAGTTCTGTTCTGTGTTGCCTGCCCTCCCTACTAATGGCGTAACAGAATGTTAATTAGCGTTTGAAATAAAATGCCGAACAAATATTTTTCGCTCACTCGCACCGATCATATGAAAAATATGAGGAACAAGTACGCCAATTGCAGATGCATGAGTGTAAATATTTTTCGCTCACTCGCACCGATCATATGAAAAATATGAGGAACAAGTACGCCAATTGCAGATGCATGAGTGTAAAAATAAAAGAATTCTACTAATACATATTTATTTTACCCAGTAGATATTAAAAACTTTCTTATAATAAACGTAAAATATAAAATCATGCCATTTTTACGCTAATATTCCTAGCCAGCCTTCTATTTATTTCAAATTCATTCCGATAACAACCACACTAAATATCCCTGCGCATTCGCATTTTTTCACATTTGTTCATTTTATATCGTATGTTAAAATGTTAAATATTTAAAATTAATTAACAAAGGCCATTTTATAAAGGCAAAACATATTTTCTTGCAAATGTCAAACTTTCTTAATAATGTAAACAAATTTCAATACTTTGAAATGGTGATTTTAGAATGCCACACTAAATTTAGAATGTTAAATACATATTTTATATAAGTTATATACAGGGTGTGGAATTTTTGGAATCTTAAAACATTGTTTAAAAGATTCCGTGACAATTCTTTAATATTTTTCAACAAATAACCTGGGCAAACCCTAAACCAACTTGAAAGGTTAAAAACCTTTTGATTGATGGTACTATTTCCTATACCTAAAGTTAATTATTTTAGAGATATTTAACAATTTCTAAAATTTTAAATATTATTTTGTATCAAGAAACCTGTGACAATTAAGTTGACTGTGGTTACCACGTAATCTGTCATTGTTCAAAATGTAATGGTTGTTAAAAACAATTTATATACTCGTTTCCCTCGTGTGTCAAACGAAAGCTAACTGATAATCGATCATTTTCTTCACTAGTTGCAAAACATACTATTGTCGCATTGCGAATTCTCAATTTTTGTAAAACATATTGAATGTGTCCTTTGGCAATATGAGATCCATTTCTATAATTAATGCCAGTGTAAGTTATCAGGTGGTTTCTATAGAGACGTAAGCTCAAAATCAACATTTATTAATTAATTCCAATGTTATCATCCAATTAGGGAAATTAAAGGACAGACAGGGTGATGGACCTCAAGTGAAATTTTTTATACGGGAAAACAAATAGGCCTTGGTTCCTCGAAAATAAAATTATTAGTTTTTCACGCAATAGAATTTTATTTTTGACAGCAATCGGTGGTGGTATCAAATCAAATAAATGTTTTATTGGACTAAATAAAAGGATAAGTACAAGCGAATTTAATTTTAATACTTCCTTTGAAATAGTGTTTTTGCAATAACGAGCTGGAGTCGGATTTACGATTAAAAGTTTATTGTTTGCTTTAACATTGCTTAATTTTACCCCCGAATGAAAGTTTATTGCCTCGGTTGAATAAATAAGGATGCACAGGAATTATTTATTACCGCGTAATTATTTTTCTTTCACGGCGGATAGAATTTTTTATGTTCGAACCTTTGGCAATTTTATGAAGTTGTTTCTTATTTAAAAAAGACAGCAGTTTTATAGGCAATAAAATGTGTTTCTGCAGCTCGGCTCTAGATCAATAGGATATGTGGAAAAAATAACCCATGCACTAGCACAGAATATTTTTCAATTAATATATCGGGACGAATAAAGTTCAAACTAATATTTTGCATGTTTAATTTCATTTAAACCTAATAAAATACAGTGCATATATTTTGCTGATTTCAAATAAAACAAGCTTTTATTATATATTTTCAAAATCATGAATATTTATAATTTGTAGCGTGCTTTGATAAATCGATGTTTTACTTTTTTTAAACTATTAATACGATAATTTTTAATCTGTATTTAATATTAAATGCGTTCGGCTATTAGCGCGAATTTTTTATTGTTGTTTCTTTTTTCTCTATTCAAAGGTTAACGAGCATAATTAATAAAAAGGTCTCTTAGACTGCATGCATTAGTAAAAAAACTTCGTATTAAAAGTTATACGTAAATGAAATGTTGAACACAAAACGGTCATATCCACAAACAAAACAAAAGTAATTTATAAGTTCTAAATAATGTATTAAATTTTGACGAGTTTTCAACCTAATGACTTTCCTGAATGGCATTTATTTTTAATTGAAATACTACTAAATTGCTTACCGCAGCGCATAAAAAGGGTAAAACAATGGGCGAAGGGTGATTTAATTTTTTAAACCAACAAAATAAGGTCATCATAATTTCGTCACATTGTGTTAATCACCAGTTTGCCTCAGCCATGATATGAAAATATAAATAAAAATAATGCAACAAAATATAAACAAAAAATTGTTAAGCTCAATAGTTTAGATTCATGCTATCGATAAAATTAACAAAAGAGAATTCTACAATGAAGTTAATATGTTGAATTTGTGTAGAAAATTCGAAATAAAGGAAAAAGTAATTTTGCATGTAAGATTCATTCACATTTCAAATATCTGAGCTGAACTCATTCAGGCCCTTACGGACAAGAAAACCGGCTTCCCAATTACTGTATCAGGAAAAGCTCGACGTTGTTACAGCGGACCAGTTAAACATTCCCGCAAACACCGTTCCAAATATATCACATTTTTATTTTTATATAAACGCGATTAATATTATTGATTTTACAAGTAGGTTGTTATTATTGTCATTACCAAAACGTGTTTAGAGCTTTTAATTGGGGATTTTCCCATTACGCTGGTATTCATTTCCAAGGAAATCCAAGATGAAGCTTTTTTTTCCTAACTGAGGTGTTTTGTTTGAATTAGCTTTTCAAACGATACCTTTCGAGTTTGTTAAAGGACTAAAGGACCTTTTGTCGCGTTTGCTTGAAAGATCAATAAAATGGGCAAATATCTGTTCATGGGACTGACTGTGTGGTCCACTGTCAAATGCTTTCGCTAGCCACTAAATTTCTATTGTTCGGCAAGTGGAAACACCATTTATTTATTCTCGATTTACATGAATTCAGGAAGCTTTTTTTCTACACATCAGTTTTAATTGTATTATATAACGATCATATAGTCGCAATAAAAAAATTTCCTGAAATATTTTTTTTTTTTAATAAAAATGAGTGTCTAGAGAAAATTATAAACGAGTTGCATACTATACTTTATCTACGACTAACACAAAACTAATTTTATCTGTTAAAAATTTGAAATCTGTCAACTGTCACCCGAATTTAACCTCACTTTTTCCAAATTTATAATAAAGCTAACTTCAGCCCGTGACTAAAACGCCATAAAGTCACAGCTCGTCAATGTAGGAGTAGATAAAATTGTTTTAATATTGCAAACGAAAAATTAAAGTATAGATCATTAAATTTAATTAAGTATATCAAAGATGTCGTGCAAACCTATTAGAATGAATAAACAGTAAATAAAATTAAATTGAGGATATAACTCTGCCCAAACCCTCACTTACGTAACGAATATCATCAAAGTAAATTTACTCATTTTCACCTAGTTCATGAACATAAAATTTCGTCACACGCACTTGCAATTCCAATTTATTACCTCACTTGATTAAATCATTGGAAATATTTCAGCATAAAAAAAAACGGTTTTGGTCCCAATAACTTTTTTATTTTGACGATCGTCAAAAAATATTCTTTAGTCACAGGCTGAAGTTAGAAACAGTTTAGTCACGGGCTGAAGTTTATTATAAATTGGGAAAAAAGTGACAGTTGACAGATGTCAAATTTTTAACAAATAGAATTGGCTTTATATTATTCTTTGTGTTCAGTGTAGATAAAGTATTGTGTGAAACTTGTTTTATAAATACTATTAAATTTAATAATCAAAATTTTAATATCAATGACCTTGTCTCTGAATATTCAGTCGCCCAATCACATTCTGTGTAAAATCATTATTTTTTGTATAGAACACAATATCAAAGGTATATAAAATATGAAATTTTGATTGTTAGGTTGATTCCAGGATAGTGCTACAATAATTATTATAATTATAATTGTTGTTTTTTGTTTCAGAGCATCATCATATATTTGTTGGCGACTTGAGTCCCGAAATCGAGACGCAAACGCTGAGAGATGCATTTGCAGCATTCGGCGAGATATCGTAAGTATATTTAAAATTCTTATTTTGTTTTATGACTTTTATATAAATTTAATATTCTCTTTAAAAGATTCGCAAATTAAGGAATAAAGTACTGTAACGCGAAGATATTTCCGGCTTTTCTTTATTTTCCGAATAAATAAATATTCAAATTTCAATTAAAGTATAGAAGGAAAATTTACATTTTCAACATGCAGAGCATCGCTCTGATTAAAAATATTTTTGGGATTACTTATATCCTCCTTATGAATAGTAATTTGATGAAAAAAAATAAATCTGGGGCAACGGCTAATTTTATTTTAATAAAAGAAATTCTTGGCTACGAATCCAGTACTTTGCAATCATTAATAAGTATATCACGAAAATCTGTAAAAATAAATACTTGGAACAGATTTTGATTCATTAAAACAAAATTAAAATATGTTGATTAAAAGTCGAAAATTAATTTGAATTTTGTTAAAATCCTATGTTCGGGCAACTAGTAATTGATTCGCAAATTTAATGCGCTTTTGGTTAAATCTATTTATCTCACAACTTTATGTTTTTGAATTAACGGACTAAAACAATTTTTTGATATCGGTACCTACCGCACATGTTATAATTATAAGTCGGTCAAACGAAATTAATTAAGAGTTTGGTAGTTTTAGGAAAATTGTTTTCTATTTGATTTGCGCGATGCAATTTCATAAAATTCTTCAATTGTTTTAGCATTTGACACCCGACATCTGTTCCACTTTTAATTTCACGGCCCGTGCTTTATTTCATCAACAGCCAGAGTTCACACAAATTAAAACAATATATCCTTTCACATACTCTCTGACACGAACACGTCTCGGTAATGGGGAAATTAAAAAAAATATACATCTATGAAAGTAGTTTAAGAAACTGTTGAAATTTCATTTAATTATTGAGCGGAGTGGCGATATACAATATAATCTTTTTACAATTGAAAATTGGATTGGAACTTATTGCCTTTCTACATGGACGATCTTGTTCAAATATTATATTAAAGTAAATCGTTTGAGCGAACGTATTTATTACGGTGTTTAAAAAATATTTTTTTTTCTTCCAACACTAAAAAATTGGTTCTTAAGCACCTCTAGAAAGTGCTCACAATTATAAAAAAAATTATAAATTCTTCAAACTCTAATCTTAAATATCTTTTTGACAGATGTGTTTTGGGTTTGAGGTTAAATTTTCTAGCATTGTTTTCTATGCTGTCTAGAGTTTTGAAGTGTCGGAAAAAAACAGGAAAAATTGGGGAAAAAACTGTTTTTTCCGTTTTTTCCCATGCCTTGGAAAAATTGGATTTTTGCGAAAAAAAAATTTTTTTTTTGAAAATATACACATTTGAAAAAAAAGTAGCAATCAACAACTTAACATTATTTTAAATAAAAAAAAGTCCTTTATTACAAAAAAAATAAAACTAAACATTAAATTAAATTTAAGAAAATAAATGTAAACTTGAAATATACTGTAATACAAAATAATGAATGATTTATAAAGTTAAATTACAAAATTATAATTTTTCCGGAAATTTTAAAACCCTAATGCTGTCATTATTCAACTCGTGACAATAGCTTACTTTGCTCATTATTTTGTACATTGCTTCCCATGGGACATATCTGTATGAAAAAATAGCTGTTATTTATTGTTTACAATTGTTTTTTTCATTATTCCACTAGTGGAACAATATTTTCATTATATAACTAGTGTAACTACACTTAAGTGTGGAACAAAAACATTTGTTGATTTTTTTGCCAAAAATTCGGTTACAATATTCGCTGTGATTTGGACCAATCGATTGCAATCGGGTAGTTGCATTTCCAAAAACATCTGTCAAATGATCTAACCTCAATTTTTAATTTCTTTTTATAAAGTTCAGAACTTGATGAATATACTTGATATTTTAATTTGTTCAAAATGGCGAACTATTTTTTAAACTTAAAGGTTACGCGCTGCAGGTTTATTTTTGCAAACTAATTGGTTTTTTCCATTTGCAGGCGTTTGTAGGTGCCTGTAGAAATTTTCACAAAGGTATGCGAGCGCAGAATTTCAAAACGAAAACGCATCTATTTTAACATAGTCCTGCTGTTTTGCCTTGAGCATTTTGGGATTAATTTTTACATTCGACTGATACATTTTATGCCACATTCCATTAGCTTTTTCTACTTTTTAACGCTTTTAACTTGAAATTGTCTAGCTGAATATTTTTATTCTTATTTTATTTAAATATTAATAAACCACCATTTTTTTTCACTTTTCACTTTTCTTTTTATATTTAAATACAACAGTAATTAGTAAGTTTCTTTTAAAATATTTAAAAAAGTTTTATTACAAAGATTAAAAGTTGGAGTTTTTAAGAGTCCTTAATATTCATAACAGAATTGTTGCTGAACAGTTTTCCTTCAAACATTAATTTTCAGTTAATTTTTAAACACTTCACACCACGCCTCTAATTAATATATCCAAAAATCAATTTCAACAAATCGAACAAAAACGACACACGCAATAATTTACTGCACTTATTCGTGTGTGTAATAAAAAATTCATACGCAACAGGACATGCTTAATTATCCGAAATATTGACCGATTTTTCCAACAGCAAAATTCCATTCTGTCCCTTTACACTGACAAATATGTATTTATGACAGGCCGGATCGAGATTCCTTAAATATTTTATTGGGCTTGTTTTGAAAGGGCATTTCACGTTCACACACACCATGACTTCCGATACCGATCGTAAAAAGTTTATTTTACAAGGGTGCATTCACCATTTTTTTAAATTAATTATTCAAAAGAAAAACGCCTTCATCAAGTTTTAATAGTCAATTAATAATAAGTCGCAAAACGAACAAAAATACACTAATCAACGTTTATATTGCTTCACCCCAATCGAGATGATAAACTATATAATTTTAAATTCAGAAATACCTATATACAGAGCAAAAAACACAGTATTTTGTAAAAATATGAAAATTTAGATAAATGCATTAAAGGATACTTGTATACATTTGACATATTGTGTCGAAATATTTTTTTAATAAATGTTTAAATATTTGTTAATTATTTCAGGTTCCCAAAGTAACTCTATTTTTAAATAGTTAGAAATATTATTTCTCCATTTATTAATTATTTAAAAATTTAACATTAATTGTTTGTGCAACTACCAATTATTCAAACAATTACCAATATATTAAATTTTTTTTAATCATTAATTATTCAAATAACTAGCAATAGGTTAGGTTATAATTATTGAATGGTTTATTAATTAATAATCATTATCTAGCTATTACTGGATATCTAATGGCATTCGCCATTTTTGACACAATTATATAAATAAAAAATTAACTTGTAAGGTATAATGTGGTTGATAACGCTGATTCTATGTTCAAACAGTATTGGTTGTTGTTAAAGGTCCACAAAGCGTGTGTACAGGCATTATATATCAGTAATAATATTGTGAGAATTTGGCATATTACATTGTAATGATCCTTTAGTATGGGATCCAATATACTTGGTTATGTATGTAAAGTGATTTTCTGATCAATTATCATGTTGCAGCATGTGTTAACACTGGTATTGAGCGGAATATATCATTAAATGTAATCACTTATAAGACGCCGTGAAATGTCGTCACCAGTTTTAATAAAAATGCAAGACGCTTTGCATATGTAAATTCCGGATTTTACCGGAAAAGGTAATTTAGATGTCGTTCCTAATACTTTTTTCACGCAATACCCCATTTAATGATTGATAATGTACTATTTAAGTGTTTATTTAACTTGTTATTTTTTTCAGTGATTGTAGAGTTGTACGAGATCCGCAAACGTTAAAGTCGAAAGGATATGGATTCGTGTCGTTTATCAAAAAAAATGTGAGTAAAGTTTTTAATATAATAACAAATATAGTGTAAGGTTGTGGATGAAAGTTAATTGAGAGTGAATTTATTTTTTCGTAATCAGCAGAGCCACTCCTGCCTGCCTACGTTGCATGTGAAGCCGTTAGGGAAATCACAGCTGCTATCAAAATTTTTTATAATATATATTGTAGCTAGCGCGATGGACAGACTTTAATGGCCACTAATAAATTCTTGGCAATGAATTTTTGATGCGACAAAACAGCGATTTATGCACGTCTAGCATCTCCCAAAACACTTACTTCAGCCCGGACCGACCTCCATTGTGTTGTTGCGGCAAATAACTTTTTTCTGCATTTCACAACTAATTTAATAACCACGGTATATGCCATGTAATTTCACAACCATTAATCTTGTTAGGCTGTTTATCTGTTGCCGCCTTGCTCCAAAAATTCTTTTGTTAACCAAATCAAATTACTTAATGCATTTTATAATATTAACCTTAACTCAATAAAATTTACTAACAACCTGCAACGAAACAAAATACATTGCATAATAATAATAATAATATAAAAGTTGACCTTTTTTATGCTTTTTTTGTTTACGCCAACAACATGACACCAGCAGCAGTCTCCTTTTAACCTCAAAAAAGGCAGAATGAAATACGAGCGGCAAATAAAAAACAATTTAACATTTTTTATTTACCATCAATTTTAACTTAATAAAATAGTCGATCGATCCGAATTGCCCCATAAATTTAAGTATTTTTTAATGAACAACATAATAGCGCATCGTTAAATTATTTTATTACTTATTTTTTTTTTAATTAAACTAATGCAAGCCAACACATTTTATTGCTCAGTTTATATTTTCAATATGCCGGAGTTATTTAACTTTTAAAGCCGCCAATGAGCGCGCTCTACCAAACGAACCTCGTGTTTGTTCGAATGTTGGTAGGCAACCCAGATTACAAATCGATAATACTGGCGGCTTTAAAAGTTAGATAACTCCTGTGATTTTGCGAATTCGACAAAATGGTAAGGAAAATTTGTCCCCTGTATATTCAAGGGTATATTAAAATTACGCCCAATCAACGCCATTTAAGATTAAACTTGGTAGAAAGCAATTTTTTGTTAATTTTTTAAATTAATAAATTCAATAGATGGAATACTAATTTGAATATATAGGAAATAAAAGCTAAATTGGGTCAAACAATAACAATAAAATCTAAATATTTCAAATCAATATTCATTTAGAGTATAAGATCGTCGTGGATCGATATTTTAAATTAATCTTGAATTTTGTAGTTTAATTCGCTGTTTTATTACTTGGCCATCGAGTTTTTTCAAAATTTTCCCCGTAGAGCATTTATTACATTTCTCAAAATACGTTTACAAGCACTTGACTACTGTCAAATTAAAAGTAATTAGTGTCGAGGGACCTCGACTGTAATGTCGAAAATATTCGACGTGAAAAATTAGGGATATTTGTCTTTTTAAAATGCAATAAGCCAATCTAATTTGTTATTTAAAATTCATATTGTCCGACCCAATTTAATTATCACCCTGTGCCATACAACTTTTGGACGGTGACAAATTTACGAAAATCGCGAATCAGCAGAAATACAAATTTAAGAAAGAATGAGTTAAATTAAAAAAAATAAACAATAGTGTGAATGTTAAATTGGAATGACGCAAACAATCGATGCATTAAACCCCCATGTGGATAATGTGCAAATATAAACAGTGTTTCAATTAATTATAATTATTTGTCAGGGCCTTGGATATACTTTTTTTTGTTGCTATTTGCGTGTTTTTAATAAAACTATTGCTGCGGAAATGCTCATCTCAATATTGCGGCACGTAATAAAAGTTTAATCTCAAATGGCGGATATTTAAAACATCGTTTATTTAATTGCGTATTAAAATTTTATTGCGCGTCTTATATATATTGGAAATATATAGAAAACATGGAATAAAATAAAACTTTTTAATGGTAACAAATTATTTAAAAAGTGCATTAAAGAAAGCTTGGTTTAATAGCATAATTAAAAATGATTTTTCGCCATTATTTGGTAATAAAAAGAGCACGGAAGGAGAATAAATCCAGAGAAATGTTTCGTATTCCTTGGTATTTTATTAACCGGGATTTTTTGAATTTATTGTTGGTCAGTGTTTAGTACGTAATAAAAGTGTACGTATTATGTACTGGAAGCAATTACATAAATTAAAGGATGCAAGAAAAGAATATGGAAGAAAGTGTAAAATAATATGTTCCACTCCCTTTTTGAATTTAAAAAGGCGACTACTGTTGGTTTCACATTGTTTGTATAAAAGGCATGGAAAAATAAACTGTAATAACAACTTTACGCATGTAATTTACTGGGGGCTCAACGTTATTTTAAGGGCAATACAGAAGATAAAAAGCAAAAACAGTCCTTCACATAATTTATTTTTTTATCTGCACCCACATTATACGTCCAAACATGTAAACATCGATTTTTTCACAATTATTCATTTGACTTGTTTTACAGGAGGCCGAGAGTGCAATTGCGGCAATGAACGGACAATGGTTGGGCAGCCGAAGCATTCGTACCAACTGGGCCACCAGAAAACCTCCTGTTCCAAAAACCGAAGGTAAACTTTATTTATTTCTATATAAAACATTTATTGTGCCACTTCATTAATTTTGATTTAAACTTGGCAACAATGCGTCCCGAATAAAACTATATGAACTCCTTATGTGTTGATAAAATAACTTGACGTCCATATACAGAAGAAAAAAAGATTGATGTAAAGCGAAATTCTAGGATAAAAGAAGTGAAATAGTGCTGAAATCCTGCAGAACATTAACAAAGAATGACAGTAATTGACTATAACGTGAGGCAAGGCAAACATTTTTCTTTTTACGGAGTGCAAATCATAGCTTCTATTTAAATGTATGTCAAACTGACTGTATACCCCTGCTATATAGGGTGGCCTATCAAAAACGGCTTTGTATGTGAAATTTGTTAATAATAATTGATTATATAATTAATCCCGGCGCATTCGCTATTTTTGAAAGTATTTATCGTTTTCATGGGGATATATTTAAACATTAGTTTTATAACTGTTACTTCAAGCCCCTACTTTTCAAATGTTGTGATACATCTTTTGAAAGGGCATTACATTTTCTTAAAAATGGCGCTTAGTTTTTGAAAACTAAAAAAACTTTCGAAAATGGCGAATGCGCCGGGATTAATTATATATTTTTTTATGCAGAAAACTAATGAGAATTGAGAAAGTGCCGAAAATACCACCACCAACTATTATTATTTGACTTTTAAAATGACCACAAATAAAAAAGTCTAGAGGATTTAAATCTGGAGATCTAGCAGGAAAATCCTCTAATTATTCTACAGTTGGTAGTAGCAAATTAACGTGTTTAATAATAAATGACATATCGTGTTGCCAAATAGTACAGTAATGAGCTATTATGAACATAATGTTATGATAAGCAAGTAGAAAATAGTATTTTATTAAAGACCTAATGTCATAAGACGTCATTTTGTCGCATGGTCTTATGACATGAGTTCTTTATGCTATTATATCTATTTTGCAAAAATTCTATAAAAAAAATAATTTTATACCTTAAATTTAATTTGGTCCAATTTTACTTTAGATAGTTGGTATCAGTCATTGGTTTGACAGTTAATGTCAAAATCGATTCGCCATGCCGTCCTTAATTTACTTATTTACAATAAGCGGCTGTTAATGTTAAAGAAGAAAAAAAGGATTTTCTTTGGTGTTAAACAAAATTTATTGCCAGAAAAATCATAAAAATATTATAACCGATATGCAAAATATTATGCTGTTTAAAGTATAGCCAACCTATAAAATCAAAATTTTGGGAGGGATAAAGTACCGAAAGCGGTGTTATAATGAAGACATTATGAACGCAAAATAGATAAAATTAGTTTTCTGCTTTAAAAATAATCTTTGCAAATTTTGTATTTTGACTGCTGAGTGATGCGAATATATATTTTATTATTGATTAATATTTTCCGGGGGTGTAATTTTAGTGAGAAACAAAGTCCACGTAGAAGTACCTTTGGGATGAAACCGCACGCGCTGCTCTACGCTACAATGTTAGGAAATTCCGGTCCCTTAGGAATTTTTCTTGCAGCGTTTCCTTCACTCCGAGCATACGCAACTTTTCTTACTCACCTAAAAGTTCAGCCTCAGAAGTTGACCCAATCAAGTAACGATTTCGGCACTGTCACAATTTACTTATGTTTTACATACATATTTGATCGAATCCGGTGGAAACTTTTCGATTTCCTCCCATAGCCAATTTTACCCTCGTTTTATCCCCAACGTGTACTTTTTTCCGGTTGCCATGGCAATCCGCAATAATTACCCGCCACATGCGTGATTTACGCTAATGATAAATATTAATGCGTGTAAGAAAAATATCTTTCAATGCGACCCCGCTTTAAATATTTATAAGCACAATTTATATGCATAGAGAAATCATTCTTTGTTGACACAGGGTGTTTTTTTAAATCTATATATTTTTGTACATTGGTACACATAATATTTAAACTTCAAAACACCCTGAACATAACCGCAACCGAATTTCTTTGTTACAGTCAGCACAAAACCTCTAACATTCGACGAAGTTTACAACCAAAGCAGTCCTACCAACTGCACGGTCTACTGTGGAGGAATTACGAATGGTTTAACTGAAGAATTGATGCAGAAGACTTTTGCTCCTTTTGGAACAATACAAGAAATACGGGTATTTAAGGAGAAGGGATACGCATTTGTAAGGTAAATAATTTTTGTTTTATTTTCCTTCGAATTTTTCACGTTTGGCTTAATTTCTTCTTAAGCCGAGCACTGATTAATACTGCACCATTCATTAATGCTACAAAAGGGGCTTTAATTTTTTGTTGATTCCTCCACGGAGATTATTAATTTTGTCACAAAAAACACATAGATTTTAAGGACACACGCGCACATTCATTTACGTATACAGGGTCTTTCATTTACATTCAAGCATTTCCTAATTCTTAATTCTACATTAGACGTTGCTCTATTATATTATATTAAATATAGGTTTCAATCGAAATGTTTTTAAATTTCCTTATTGATTATGTAAAAACATACAGGGTGTTATGTACATTTAAAATAAAAAATTATTAACGTTTCAAGTTAGCCTAATATGCCATGGTTTTTCTGAAGTAATTTGTTTAGATATGTTAAAGAATTGACATAAAATCTTTTAAGCAATGTTTAAAGATTCCAAAAATTCCATATCCGCAAACATAATATAGACAAATTTTTGAAAGACAAAAATTAATAACTCAAAAAATACTTTTTTTATATAAAACTCGACGATAATATTTGCTTTCTTCGCCTGGTCTATTATGTACTATTTTCTACTCCCTCATGACAAGCTGTGACTTTATGGCGTTTTAGTCACGGGCTGAAGTTAGTTGACAGTTGTCAAATGTCATACAATCTGTCAAATGCCATATAATCGTCAAAATAAAAGAAGGCATTGCAAGATAGCACACATTCAATGCTTACATAACAAAAACAAAATATAGTTTGTTGAAATAATACCAATATAAATAAATACGCATTTCATTATTTATAAAATTTGCAGATTTTCAACGAAAGAATCTGCTACTCACGCAATCGTGGCAGTGCATAATACGGATATAAACGGTCAGATTGTTAAATGCTCGTGGGGAAAGGAATCGGGAGATCCGAATAACGCCCCAGTTGCGGGGCAGGAGATATGCTTGCAAGCCATTACAGGTACCCAGTACCCGTACAACGCCTACGGGCAACAACTGGGCTACTGGTACCCTCAAAGTTTCCCCTCTACTGCTGCAGCTGCCCAGATGCAAGGGCAATTCCTGCAGGGTATGCAGGGCTACACCTACGGCCAGTTCGCTGGCTACCAGCAATCTTATATGGGGTAAAATTGATTAGGGTCGATTGAAAGGAATGTATTGTTAAATTTTTGGGGATTTTGCAGGATGGGCATGCAGGTGCCTGCAGCCACTTGGCAAGGTATACCAGGACAACCTCAGTTGCCCTCTACCCCTCAGCAAATGACTGCTCCGGGTACCACTTTACAACAGCCTGGATTGGTATTTCCAATTCAGCAGTACCAAGTAAGTCATGTCGGCTAAAAGTAGTTTGGCTTATTGTGCGCATGTAGGCTTAGTGTGGTATGTTTGAGTGGCTGAAAACTTTTTTATTCTATCGATTGTCAAAACACGTTAAATTGAATTTACCAACAACAACAAGTTTATAGAATTAAACAAGCATGTTGCTCATATATGTTTAGTAAATGGACGTAGAAAATCAAAATTAGTTTGAATTGAATTGAAAGTGTATTTTGCTTGAAGGCAAAAAGTGATTTTTTTGTGTATTTTTTATTGCAGGCCCAATGAAATACTGAAAATTATCATGAAATCGGAATAGTGATATAATGTTATCTTCAAGATGTGTTTATTAAATAATTTATGATTTGTTTATGTGCCAAATTGATTAAATAACTTGCATTCAAAGTCGAAAATGATTAATGTTAACTTTTGCCAGCACCTACCTAAATTGGTTTTCCATTATTTTCACCTGGTGATTGCTAACACATCCTTTAAATGTAATTTATTATTGAAAGAACACAATCATAGATCCATCCATTTTTTGTAAACTTGGCTATTTCCAGTTTCAGTAAGTTTTAAAAAATTGGGTGAATGCGATTTGATTTTCTGCACAGGTATACCCCCAAAATCAACAAATAAATCTGCACTAGTTCTAGCTAAACTAAGGCTAGCTAACACGCTAAGGCTTTTCACGTTTATCATTACGATCTATATAAAAATAATGCATGTTATATTTTTGGCAGCTAACACCGTCTGAGGAAGACTGGCTAACCCCAAGTCTTTTGGTATGATTTTGATGATGAAACCCAATTTTTTAAATGTCTGGACTATTATTTGCCATAGGAGCTATCTGTGACAGTACAAGTGATTACAATTATCTAAAGAGTTGTCCAAATTACGTAAACATATTTTTATTTTTGTCTTCCCATTTCACTGTTCAGATAGATTAATTCTAAGCCTGTTTTAATTGAACGACTATTATATTAATAATAATAATAATAATCTGAGATTTGGCAGCTTTGGGTAGTTGTAGTTAAGTGAATATTTGGACTAAGTTACCTGTTTTTCTTTGTAAGGATTTCTTTTAGGATTAAGAACATTTATATTTGTAAAGAATTGCCGTTTTTCTGAAATTAAGTTTGACCTGTACAAAATTTAGGCTAGAAAAGAGTTAAATTAAAAATTAATAGATAGGATAGCATGTAGCAATTAAGGCATATTTTTCTGACAACCAGAAGATGGTTGATAGGAAAACCCGTCAGGTTACATCGGAAGGATCTGCTTCAAAATGAAATCCGCGGTCAATTTGTTCTGTTTCTGTGTAACGTGGTCGAAAATAAGTTTGTTCACTTTAAACCATAGAAAACCCCGAACTCTGCGAAAGTAAATCAAAAGAAACAGTTCTAGTAGATATATTTCGGTATGCTCCAAATATTCAACTATTTTTATAACGAAGTGAGTTTTCAAGTGAACAAATTCAATTTAAAAAAACCATACAGGCACTATAAAAATTATATTTGTGCAAACCTAGGATGTAAAACAAAAAATATTGTATTAATATTGTACATAAAAGTTATCGGGTGACGTCATGTGATTAAAATCATAAACATAGAGTAGGACATAGATGGAAAATTATGCTAGAAGTGCTCGTCGAGATTAAAAAAATATTAAAATAACGCCATTGACAACAACACGATTTGTAAAATAAATGAATGCGCTCAATATGCTCGGCCACACGACCGAGACTATACAGGGTGGCCCAGCAAGGTTTACGGCTTTGTATGTAAAAATAAAAAAAAATCTTCGGAACCATTTACTTTTGTTTTTCAAAAATGGCGAATGCGCCGGGATTAATTATATAATTGTATATATTTTTGTATGCAGAAAAGTAATGAGAATTATGGAACAAAGTTTATTAATTTATTAAGTGCTCACCTTCCATAGAAAAATACTAAAACTCTGAAGTATTTGGGGAATTATTTGACTTTTACTGTTTCAAAAGATGTATCACAACATACCCCTTCCCATTTGAAAAAATTAAAGTAACAGTTCACATACAAAGCCGTAAACCTCTGGACTGTTTTCGATGGGCCACCGTGTATAGTGATAAAAAGCTCGGTGCTCTCTTTATTTTAATTAAACCAAATCAGTGCCAAAGAATTTCATTTAAAATCTCATACATTTAATATTTTTTCCTTTATACTCGTTATGTACCTAATTTAGATTTGAGGCAACGTGAATGGTAAGGCTGCAGCTTAAATTATGTTATACTTAGTTTGACAAAAGGCTGTATTGAATGAAGTATAGCTAGCTTTTGATATTAATGAAAAAAGTCGAGATGTTGTGCACATGAATTTATTATACAGATAAAATTAAAAGAAAAAAGGCTCGCTACAAGGGTTATTTTTACCCAATAAAAAACATAGAATTACGCAGCCCGGATTATAAAGCGCGAAAGTGATAAAATATTAAATAAATTAAAGTGATATCACAAAAAAAACCGACATTTTATATTAACAAAATATGAATGAGGAAAGTTTTGATACCAGTTTTAAAGTATACCGCAGCGTAGAACCGTAGGCATTAAAACATTCTGACTCTGGATCTAGCGCCAATCGACTAAGGGCATGCGTTAAATTTGCCCGAGCGTTTAATTAATGCTAAAAACCGCTCGGGAAAATTCATATTGATAGGTGCCGGATCTAGGGTCAGAATGTTATAATGCGAACCGTAGCAGGGCGAGTATTATTTAGCATTTATATGAATAGCTATATGTTTGTTTATAAAAATTATATAAGATGCACGCTGAAATTTAAGAGCACCACATATATAACGGCTGTTAATTATAGTGTAAAGGAACCTGTATATGACCAATTATAAAGTTTAGTTGCAATTTTTTTAATGGTTTCTCTTTTAAAAAAATTAATCTCAAAATTATGAATGATTTTCGGTCCGAGTTAAATTGTTCGAAAAAATTATATATACTAATAAGCGTCTTAGCGTTAACTATTGAATTATACAAATTTTTAGATAGATATTATTAATTATTTAATAATTGAATATATTAATATACAGTTATGAAAAGACTGACGGTAGCAAATTGTGTGAAATGAATAAGCTAGTTACTATAACTATTTTTGTATATATTTTATACACTGCTTAGATTTTTTTACGATGTCTCTAACCATATTATTGAATTTTTAATCTTAACAATTTCCTTCGGACCGATTTTCAATAATTCGAAAACATCACAGTCAATTTCCTTTCAAGCCTTTTATTGAAAAAGACCAAATTTATTTATATCATCAAAAAGAATGTGTGGTAAAAGGCCGTCGATTATTTCAATAATTTTCTAGTTAGTGTGATAAAACTTTGAAGGCGTCAGCTTTTAAATTTCTATCACATAGTCCAATACGACCAAGTAAAAATTCAGAATGACCAATATTTTCTATGATTAAAAAATTAGCGACATAGACGAAAAAATAATAATTTTAGTTAAAGTGCTGTACGACATATCATATTTAAATTGTTTAGTGTTGTTTCATTGAGTTGTACTTAAAAAGTATTTTCAGGTTCCTAAATAAAAAAAAATGTCAATATTTATGTTTTATGCCGTAGTAGTATAATGAACAGTTTGAACCTGTTTTGTTATTTTTTATCAATGTGTTAAAAATTGTATAAAGTTAAACATCGATAATTGTTGTAAATAATTCCACAAAAAACGCAAAAATAATTAAATCTATGTTATAAAAAAATTGTGCGTTTCTTGTCAAATTATAAAAATATGTTATAATATTTTGTTAATTACGATATTATTATTTAAATGTATAATATTACAATGGAAAAAAAGGTAATCAAAAAAGAATCAATTTAATTTACTAGGGTACATGGCTTCTGACACCATTGTGATAAATGTAAAAAATAGATAGATCAAAAATGGTTGTCAAAACCATCACGACCCGAGTTACGTATGTAAAAAATTTTATATCACAGTCTGCTAAAAACGCATGGAAAGAGGTGCGTGCCAAGCACGTTAAAATAAATATAAAAACCAACCTAGAATAATATATTGTAGAAAATGGAATTGAAATAAAGACAGTTACAACATTTTTTATTTGTTTTATTTTGTTTAACCCTCCGCAATACCCCTACACCACTCACCGCACCACTATCGGCAGCAAATATCAAATTTACCCCTTGAAAATGGACTCCGATAGTAAAAAAGTACATCTAAATTTCACAATATTAGCTTTGAAAAACTATTTAATAATTTTGCATTTGTGATAAGATAATACAATAATTTTCACAGTTAGTATTATTTCACAAGAAAGGCACTTTATTTTAACGATTGACGACATTTGACAACTGTCAACTAACTTAAAGCTAACTTCAGCCCGTGACTAAAGCGACATAAAACCATAGCTGTATATTTAAAAGATCACTTGGTTTCATGGAAAAATACGGAAGTTTTGTTTACCCCGTATTTTATTTTGATAATTACGAGTTTTTAAATTGCCTCTGATGACTCCAATGTTGAGTCATATGCTTTACTACACGTGTGTGGTAAGTATGTGTTGAGTGCTGTAGTGCGCCATCTGGCGTGTGTGACTAAAATTTGCTATAGAAATTTCAAAAACTTTTTGCCCGCTTGGTTTTAAAACATTCAGAAATTTTAATTAGCCAATCCAAAAAAGACCCTGATATTTTCTAAGAATCTTTTGTAATTTATTACTCTACACTATTTGCAAATGGGATTCTATATTTTTAGTAATAAGCGATTAGTCAATCTTAATATGACCCATGTTTATGTAAACTAAAAGATTAATTTCTGCACATAAATAATAAAAAAACAGATAACGAATAATTTTATTGATTCTAATAAATAATTTTTAAAATCGGCCCAGGTCCGGTTTACCACAACTTTAGTGTAGTTCAACAAGTAAATTAGTAGTAGTATTAAGTATTAAAAGCTTCTTCACTTAAGGGACACTCCACTCTCATGAGATTTCATAGCTATTACTGCAAATGTTCATAATAACCATTATAAATTTTCGTAACTTTAAAATTAACCATCTGATTTTAATTTAATATAAACGACACATAGATTAATCCATTTCCATATACATTGTGATATAAACTTTATAATTTGAAATTTGCACATGCTGATAAAACAGAAATCTTCCAGCCATTTTATGTCCCAACCGTAGATGGAGTACTTAACTTGCTTCTAAAGAAATTTAAGAAACCCATCCTAATAGCAAAAATGGACTGTAATTCATTAATTATGTGCTTTAGATTTTTTGTAACTAACATCATACTTCTTGCTTCTTTACTTAAGGGACACTCCACTCTCATGAGATTCCATAGCTTTTACCGCAAATTTTTATAATAACCATTAAAAGTTTTTAAAACTTTTAAATAACTATGATTTTAATTTAATGAACTTTTAAAATTTAAACATGGTGATATAAAACAGAAATCTTTCAGCCCTTTTATTTCCTAACCATAGATGGAGTTACTTGCTTCAAACGCCTAGAAATTTCCTGTTTAAAATTGTTCAACAATGTTCAAAGTTTTGAATTATGGCAAATAAAACCCGGATAAATTATAGTAAGTTTATTATAAACAATATTAAATTGACTATGGTATATTTGAAATGGTCCTAATAATTGGATTTACTTTAATTTAATAAAGATCTGAGTATTAAATAATCTTTATAAACATACAAAAAGCCTTTGTAATACATAGGTATATAGGACACATTGATACATCAAAAACTTATATCAGACTTATGTGTTGAACAAAAAAAAAATGAAAAAAAGACAGGGTGGTTTAATTTTTGTTGTCGTTAAAAAAATGTACACAATTGAAGCAACATGTACACCCTGTGATAATAATGTATTTTTAAACAGCGAATTATCTTATTTTCTAGCTATGTATACAATTATATAAGTTTGTAATGTTTGAATATGTCATCGTGTAGGTATGGTGTATAATTTATTCTAGATTACGTAAAAATTAATAAAAAAACAAATTAAATATTCTCAATATAAAAAAACAAAAACAAGTGCCCAATGGCAGTCCAACAATTTCTATTACTCACACCACAGATTTAAAACATCATTGGAATGTATTTTGATTATTTTTTTATTAGGCGACCAAATAGTTTAGTTTAAACCTGAAAATAGAAATTTCATAATTGTACAAAATATTTTACAGAACTTTATTTAACAATCAATTTAGAGAAATAATAATAAAAAATAATTACACAAACGCCCCTAGGCATAGCTTTAATCCCAATTTATACAAATAAATATAATCAGTACAAAAAATTCCTACATTAACGTAGATTTAGGCAAATTGAAATATATACAAATTATATTAATGGCATTGCATTGCATTGCACATGTGTTATTATTTTTATCTGTGTTGTGTTAAACTAGTTGGATAGAATAAAGTCAAAATGATAGGAAAAATTAAAATTGAATATGTACAGGCAAAGCACATCACAGTAAACCACAAAAATAATAATACAAAATATAAGAATAATCAGTGCATTATATCTGAGAGACAGAACATTGATATACAATTGTTGGGAGGTGGACAATGCGTGGGAAAAATCAATTTTCACAGTAGTAATAAGCGTAAGCTTTTGAGCTTGGTTAAATTTGAATGAAATTTGATGGGGGTGGTTTTTATGGCAATGGCAAAAATTGACTCTTCCTGGCAAGTGTATAGGTGTGGTATGGGTCCAGGGTCTGAGGAATAGGATATATTTATGTATATATAGTTTTGTGTTATCGTTTAAGTCGTTTTAATAAAATATTAGACCCATGAGTCTTTTCCAGCGGGTAGACTAGTGAGCGGGGGTTGCGCTGCCGTTTGGCCCTGCTGATTCAAGCTGGCGTTTCCCAGACTCGGCTGGCGGTTGCGCTTCTTCTCCATGTTGACTTGCGCATAGAGCGGCTCGGGCTGCGGCTGCAACAGAAGCTGGATAATCTCACCAACCCAACGTAAAAAAACACAAGCACAACTTGACACCGCGATTGTGATTTTTTACACTTGAAAATCTCAAAGCCCACACTTCCAGTCACCCGGTGACATGCACAATAAACTAAATTAATTGTTAATTAATAATTAAGCTCCTTTTACACCGTCCAAAACACCATCACAGCGCGGATAAACAGGATGGTTGGTGATTGGTAAAATGAGCTTATGAATTGGACTGAAAGTGTGTTGGTTTAAGAGATGAGAGTATTAAGCATTTGGTAAGCGACAAGACAACGCAATAACGCAAGAATAAGGGTAGGCTTGCTGGGCAGCCAGTGCAGAGGGTGCAGAGGGCCTATTTCAGCTTCAGCTCTAGCAGCATTAGCAAAGGCTCTGTGCAACGCTGCAGCTGCCACACAGCCTTACCTGTTTTGAAACATTGAAACCGGACGATTGCCGCGACGCTACCAAGCTGCTACCAGCTTACTATGTTTATTTTTTAGTGTACTGTTGTGGCCGCAGCTGAGTTGCCCAGGGCCCTTGACCTCGCCTAAACCACCACCAGTTTAACCTCTTTGTTAATCAGTTTAAATGAGGTCAAGTCTTTTGTTTTTTACCAGCTGCCCAAACCGCGTTTTAATTAAACCAACCCAACAAAATTGTCGTCAATACTATTATACACTACGCTAGATACAGACACGTCTAGTTATTATTATAAAGTTATAATAAAGGAAGACTACAGCATCTGAGATGAGAATAGACAAAAAGTACCATACAATTTCGGAATCATTTACATAACACAAACATTTACACTTTACCTTGTTCACAAAATAACAACATATTTTCTTGAATATATATGTATGCTCTTTTGCGATTTCTATCTTACTTACAATCTAATTGTTACCATTAGGTATATAATAATTAATAATACTGTGGAGAGATTCAGTATAAATGTAAAAATTTGGCCATGTTAATGATAAAAAGTGTTAGTTAGTCATAGGTATACATTTAGAGTAATTTGTTTCTAAATGTCTGTTGTTGTCAGTGTGTCTGTTATTATACATGGTGTTTCAGATAAGATAAAGCAGCGGCCTAAACTCAATAAAATAAAATAAAATATTAAAACCGAATCGTTGTTTTTCAAATAATTTATTAATTGGATAGATTTTACAACATACTCTATGAATATAGATAATAGATAAGAATTCTACACAAGCTTAACTTAACTGAAACACATATAGACATATATGAGGCAGTAATTTGTTAGTATACTAAATTCCCTTGTTTTAGTATACAGGACAATTTACTCCAACCAATTGCTAGAAAATCTTAAGTCAAATTTGATAACAAAAAAAGTTCTAATCAATCAAAGAGATTCCAATAGTTGCTTGGAAAAAATCGCCCAGTATAAACAGTGTGTGTGTACGAGTATGTTCATTTATATTATATGCAAAAGAAACTGCTTTATATTAAACAATAAAGTCCTTTTGATACTTGATCTGCCCACAGCTCACTATTCACACCAGATTTTTAAATGCGCGTACAACAAATTGACACACGTGAGTTTAAAAAGAGGGGATGCGAGTTCGTTTGTCATTTTTATAAAACTGCGTTTAATTCGTTTTGACTTTTTTACTTTTACTTTGTTTGCCGAAGAATTTAGTGACTTACTGGTGGAGGGTTTTGACCGGGCCCTGGTGGGTATGATCTACCCAACGTTGAAGTCGAATCCGGGTATGTCATGTCTGCCATTGGAACTTCGTCATTCTAAAATTAAAAATCGCCCAATTATCATGATTATTGCATTAAAACATTAAAAGTAATATTACCCTTTGATAGAGTTGCGGTACTCCGCCGCCGACGGCGCGTTGCGGCGGCGCCTGGCGTTTCATGGTTCTGTCTTCGTAGCGGGTGCCGCTTTGCGAGGCCATGGGTCTGTTCAGGGTGCTGTTCGCGTTGTTGGGCGAGTTCGGGCCGGCATTCCTGGCCGCCACCGTCTTGGTCACAAAGTCCTGCTCCTTCCAGCTGTGCTTCTTGTACACGTCCCGCAGCTCTTGATGCTGCCACATCGTGAACAAAACTTGCCCGGCGAATTTGAGGACGCGCGGCGTGTACTTCTGCCTCTGCCGCGTGATGGTCATCAGTCTTTCCACTCCTCCGGCCTCTAAAAGTGATCGAGAGAATTCGGCGTTCTTCTTGATTACCTCGTTTAGCGTGGCCAGAACGGCTGCGATCGTGTCGTCGGACGTGCCTTGGTCGTGTTGCGGATTCCCAGACGGCAACTTCTGTACCAAATCCCTCATCGCGTACTTCCCAATCAACTCTTTATTTCTCTGATCAATGGCCAAATTCCTTAGCGCAGTCGCAACTGCGCACACCACTCTGTCCACTTCCATGCGCAGCAGTTCCACCAAAATCGGCAGACCTTTCTCTTTCCTCACGGCCGCTCTTATTTCTATGCTCGGTTGCCAATAGCAAGCCGCCAAGTTCTGTAAAGCGCCGGCCGCGGCTTCCAGGGTTTCGGGGTTCGAGCAGCTCTGCAGCAACGCCAAGTACGATTGCACCACTTCCGGTTGCCATAGCAACTCCATTCCGCGCACCGGTTCGCCGCCGCGCGCCGACGAGTTACCGACGCCGCCCGAATTCGATACCGAACCGCCAAATTGACCGTCCTTCTCGGAATTCGATGCCGACGAGGATTCTTTCTTCTTTTTACTGCCGCCAAAGCACCCCAAATTTTCACCTAAAATAATACATAATTAATGAAAATTTGATTAGAAAATATGATGATAATAAAAACCTTTTGACGAGTTTGCTGCAGCTACTCTGCTCTGCGTGGGCAGAGGGTTTTTGTCGTAATTGGGATCTTCGACTTCTTGACATCGGTAAGACAAATTTCGTAGGATGCATACGCAGTTCTCGACGATTTTGTTTCCTATATTGGATTTTTCGATGGCACAGCGTACGACAGAGAGCAGTGCGTCGACCAGTCCCTCGCATTCCCTTAATTTGACTCTGGCGTACTCGCCGGCCGAACTGACGTTCCGCAGGACTCCCGACGCGTTTCTGAACACCGTCGACCAGCAGGTTTCGCCGTGGTTGCCTTGCGGGTCCCAGCCGGAGTGCGGAATTATAATGTAGGTGACGATGGTGAGCACGCCGTCGTCGATAATGTTCCGTTTGAGGTCCTCGCACGAAGACATGTTCCAAATGACACCGGTGATGAGCTCCTTTATTTCCGGTTCGCTCGATCTGCGCAGTAGATTAATGAGTGCCGGTATTCCGCCGGCATTTTTGATCGCCCTTTTGTTCTCGTCATTCTGCCTGCCGTACGATAGATTTCTAAGCGCACCGCATGCGTTTCGAAATACTTCAATACTGTCGTGACTTAATAACTTAACGAGCGGAGGTATGCCTCCCAGTGCTCTAGTCTTTTGCTTATTGGGGTCGTCCATGTAGCAAAGGTGTTGCAAGTAGGCGGCAGCATTCGCTTTGATCACATTGTTGGGGTTGTTAAGAAAGCCGATCACTTCAGTCAGGTTGGGATCGCGCCAGCGCATCCCTCTTTGATCGTCCTCGCCGCCGCCGCCGCCGCCGATGCTGCCCGGCGACGAGATGTTGTGTGCTCTGCCGTGGCTGTTGTGCCCGTGCAGCGACATCTTTCCGATGTGCTTCGACAGCTCCTCGTCCTCGAACATGCGCATGTTGGGCACCGGCACCGGCACCGGTACCGGCACCGGTCCGTTCAGCGTGTCTTCGTACGGGCGGGCGTCGTACGAGCCTTGCATCTGGTGACCGGGGGCCTGCGCGTACGGGGAGGGCGACACGTAGCCGTAGACGACGCCCTGATCGTCCTGGTAGGGATCCAGGCCGATAGGGCCGGCCGGCGAGGGCGTCACTCGGTAGTGTTCGGGCATCTCGTCGTAGCCCGAGCCCAGATACTGGGCGTTGGGCTGCGCGGCCAGCGGCATCGGCAGGGGCGACGGGTCGCCGCTGTGCTCGCTGGGACTCGGAGAGGTGGCCGACCGTTCCGCCCCGGCCCCGTAGCCCATATACGTGCCATACGGATTGGGGTAGTGATCGTAGTCTTGGTAGTGCGGGTATTGGTGGTATTGCGAATACATGTGTTGGCTGGGTTGTTCAATGTAGTCGACGTACTGAGACGCGTGACTGTGCGGGTACAGTCCTAAAGGTACGGGAATGTATTCGCCAGATTGCTCGCCCAACTGTTGGACTTCTCTGACCACTTTCGTCACGCTGGTCACCTGTTGGCTCGTCTGCTGTTTTTGTCCCCTCACTAGAGGCTCGTCGCTGTGTACAGACATGTGACTGGAGTTTGGCGAGTGCTCTGAATGTCCATTGCTATGCGTGTGGTATATACCCTCGTTTAATGAGCTCGATAGGTCTGGACCCCTGGCAAATCAAAACAAAAAATACAATATTCTTATCTAATTACAAACAATATAAAAGTCATATTTTAATTTCATCGGACATGCTGCACAAACTTACTTATATTGCTGCATGTCTGGACCCTTCTCTGGTATTACTCTCCTAAAAATAACAAATATGAATGATTGATTTATTACAACCCATAAAAATGCTATAATAAAGTTATTGTATTGCCTCACTATCTTGGAATTTCGATAAAAATTATTAGATTTCTTATCATTTTTAACGTATAAAGAGCACTTTTCTCTACTGAGGCAAAAACGTTTATGATTCAGAACAAATTTACTTAAGTCAAGTAAAGTTAAATGAACCAATTAATGAATAATTGCAAAAGTAAGTAAGATTGCAATCATTAAAAAAACATAAATATTTACGGTTTTAAAAACTTTTTATATTTACATTTTCATCAAGGACTTGTAAAATAAAATGTATTTATTGGTTTTAGCATTTCAAATTCAATTAAAAGCTGCAGAGCTTCATTTGATTAGTTTTTTTTTTAATTTCCTACACCCCTATACATTAAATGAATGTTGAAAATGAAAAATAAGCAAATACGTTAATGAAATTATTAATAAAGAAAATACTTGGTGTGGAATGGATGGTGATACTAATGCCTACCTTTGTGTTATTTCAGTGTGGGTTATGGTATGCTCTTGCCTCTGTTCCACTCTTCTATTGACCAAGCTGTGTTATTATAAAAGCTATTAGCAAGCAATCTTGTTAAAAATAATTAAGCATGCACACATTTTTCCAAAGAAAAATACAACCTGACCTTATTTCATTAATATTATTAGATCACCTAAATCAAAAAACAACCACAAGCTTTAAGTCAGCAAAATTCAGATAAGTTTGAATTACAATTTCTAAGATAAGATTAATTATTTAAAAGGAATGTGGTTGCAAGTATGAGATTATAAATAATTCTTCTGGATACATTGTTTACTTACACACAAGAGTCCAGAAGCTGACTGGCCGACATGGTGTTAAGGAAGTGTATTAATTAACCCTGTGACATACATGCAAACAGACATTAGTCAAAAGCAAACCCTAAACCAATTTATTTCAAATAATTCATCAATTTTTTTAAATTATTGATTTGTTTGTTTGAAATAAATGTTAGTGCACCCTAAGTAATGGAATATACGGGGTTATTGTAATTAATGTGTTAATAATAATAATAATAAACATTTAGCCTAAGAAATAAAAAAATGCACTTAGGACAAACCTTTATTTCAATAGTGTTTTTGGGGGTTTTCAGAGTATTTTGAACACCATATAGATTTGAAGTCGTCGTATATCATTTATAGCAAAGTCTGAAAGAAAAAAATTAATGAGATATTAAACGAGGTAAATAAATATCTTTGGATAGTTTTGTGCACAGGTAAAAGTGGCAGGTGCAATTCGGGATTATGGCGTATCGGGAAGACGATGTAAATAACATCGTTAAGGGTGGAATATCGAAGGATCCGCAAAATATGCCATCGAAATAAAATCAGAAATTAATGTAAGTGGGGCGGGGCTAAAAATGTTTACATTCTTAGATAAGATACCAAGAGGTAATAACAACAATATGATGCACATAACGGACAAATCTTTATTAAACTGAACGCGAACTATTCGATGCCGTATTTAACGGTTGCACGTAAAATTTAACAGCAAATATAAAACAAACCTATCATGTTTTCGCCTTGCAAGGTCGAAGCTGGGACACAGATACAATGGAGACTCTACGTCACCAATAATGCCGCCACGGATTTTCTACACTGCTCGGTGTCGTAACTAACAACAATATCACATTTCTATCAAATAAACTCGCTCACAACGTACGCATTCGGCACGAAAAACATCACAAATTCCATTTAATTCAGCCCGTACGCCGTACAAATCATAGAGACATTTGACTTCGAGACATCCACTAGACATATCACTCCCACTCAAAGTGCATCATGGGTAATGCAACTAAAAACACTAAACTCACGATTTTACCTGAATTTAGGCTCCTAAAACCCCCAAAGCGCACTTATATCAAACTTAAACACTTTATATTACCTTATTTAAACTCTATTATCACTTAAATGGCTTTTTACTGCATAATTTTCGTCATTTTGGGTCGCCGTTTTGAAACGCCCGCCAAAATTGACATTTAAACACCGCGTTCCGAGATCATAAATAAAAAAACAAGCAATCCTCGAAAATTTATTTAATATGTTATCTTATTTGTTAGTTTATATTCCATATTTATCAAAATTGTTGGCATTTTTGGTAAAGCGACGAAAATATACTTATCCTTACTACCGACATATAGATGGCGCCAAACCAAACGTTTGACATATACTTACCACAGTGAAAACATCAATAACTTTTATTAATATTTGGCACGTGCATAAAAAATGAACACGTGTTTTTAAATTTTTGTCAACTATGAATTAAAATGTACAATTTTCTCATTTTCATTACATTATAATCAAAACAGGTCTTAATTTGCAAAATTTTATTTAAAATTATATTTACAACAATTTATATAATTAATTATAACCTTATAAATATTAGTACTTTAGAACACAAAACATTACCAATAGTTATGCTTTCTCAGACTCCTTGTTAGAATTCTGTGGTGAAACTTTTCTTCTATTATTGTAGATGGGGTATCTGGGGTAAGGATGGGGAAAAATCATGGGCCGGACATTCGGTAACATCATCCCGGGACGTGGCATAAAGTTTCCATACGGACCATGAATATGTGGGTCATATATAACCAAGGGGGCATTTGGCATCCAAATATGTTGATTATGTTGATGATGTTGATGATTATGTTGATTATGGTATATATTACTTTGTAGATAAACTGGGCAATCTTTTTCTGGAGAACCTCTACTTCTTACCGACACTGGCGATCTCGCCCTGGATCTATCCCTCGATAAGGACCTGCTTCTCTTCCTGGTTCTCTCCCTACTCCAGGACCTTCTCCTGGAGTGACTTTCAGATGGAGACCTGGATCTTCCCCTCTTTTCTTTCGCTGTATAAATAACTAATCTATCTTCACCGAGTTTTCCATAAGAAGACTCGCCTGGCCTCATTCTTCTTATCTCGCCTTTTCTTGGGCGAACAAAACCTAGTGGGATATTTTCATCTGTGTCTTCTTCTTTGCCCGAATTACATTTAATTCCATCGAATAGCACCTTAGTTGGTTTGGAAACTTGGGCAATTATACTCTTAACACTTTCAGGATCTTCCAAAGATCTATTAAGTTTTTCCAAATTTTTTTCAGAACCCTTGATGTTTTTCAGTTTAATAACCACCTTAATGCTTTTTAAATCATTATGTTTTGACATTTTTACTAATACGATGTTTGTAGCACAATTTAAAAAATCACTTGTTTTGCCTTTAAGACACAAAACGATACTAATGAATAATTATACCAAAGGCTTTAATATACGTATTATAGGTATACCTATAAATTGTATACCTTCAAAAATGTTTGTTTCTTAAATATTCTGATTACCTGAACTAAAGAGTAATTTTGTAGACTAAGGTCTTAATCCTTCTGGGATTACTCTGTTTGAAAATACTATTTTGTAATTTAATTTGCATAAATACTTTTATTGACTCTTAATGTAGAATGTTAATTTTATTGGTTTTACCCCGAAAAAACATTGGTATGAAAAACAAAACGCAAAGAAATGTGCGCATAAATAACCATTTCTTTATAATATTTATATAAATATAACAATGTGTAAAAAAGAATTCTTTTAAGAAGGTTATAGAACTTGGCCATAATAAAACATATTGTTGATATCACATTAAAAACTAAATTGAAAATATTTACTAAGTAAATCTTAATCTTAAATGATTCAGATTTACTAAAATTATATCTAATACATAGAATTAAGAACCCAATTTTATACTATGTCCTAAACATATAAAACATATGTACGATATATACAGGGTGGAACAAAAGTATCAACTAATGGCTTTACTTTGTTATATGAAAATTTATAAAAAAATTTCAATATAAAAGTTTTTTAAGCAAGCCTTTTTGAGTTTTATAGTTTGTTGATATATTTTTTTTATTTTGTTTTTATAGCAACCAATTTTTTTTTAAATTGCACACATACTTTGTGTATTATGAAAAAAATTATACCATACCTTAGCATCTTGCTCCAATGTTATTAAACTTTTCATTTCACTAGTTAATTTAAAAGAGAACTGGTAAACTAAAATAAATCTAAATTTATTTATAAGAAATGTTTTAATTTTGTTATTCAATATTCTACAGTGTTAGTATAAGGTATACATTAAAATAAAAGATATTTTTACTTTTGTATTTTTTATAAAATCCCCAAGAAATACAAACATTGGTCAAAAAACATAGGCAAACAAATATTTACATAAATAGAAATTATAGTATGGCGAAAATTGATCACAGCATCATAACCATTGATTTAACACATTAATATAAATATAATAACAATTTTTGTGTTAATATTAAAAAATATATACAGGTGCTATACGTAAAAAAATAATTAGTTTAAGCAGCCTTATCGTACACAGTTATGCTACTTCGCCATAATATAACATATTGTCGATATCACAATAAAAAACTACAACAAAATATTTTTTAAACATAAATGAGATTCACTCATAATACAACTACTGAGATTCACTAAAATTCGCTAAATTATATCTAATACATAGAATTAGGAACCTAATTTTATACTATGGGCTCGGTTAAATCGTCGAATAATTAATATCTGGAAGTTTGTTCTAAAAATGCTTTATACACAGGGCGTACGTTTGTAGGTATGTATATAGGCGAATAAATAAATAAATACTTATAGATAAATTAAGAAACACCCAGCATATAAATCAGTAAATGCCTTTCCTAGATAATAATTACAGGACCGAACACCCTGTATAATATTAATCATTCAACGGGACACCTAATTTCTTTAATCCTAGTAATACCACGTTATAAATAAGAAATAACCAAAATTAAAACCTTTAATCCACTTTTGTTTAAATTACGTGTCACATTTATGAATATTTTCAGGGTGATTTTGAACCTCTAGAAAGCCCGTAAACTTGTTTTCTGAAAAAGATAATTTTATTGAATAACAAAATAAAATGAGCTTTATAGATTTTTTTTAGCATCCTATAAACTAGACTGACTAGAACTAAAATAAGTACTAAATAATTCGTTTTGAATTTGTGCAATTTTGGGGGTTTACAAATTACTCAGTCTTATACTAAAACGATGGAAAACAAGTTTTAAACCCAATAAACAGTGGAAGTTATTTTGATTCAAAACAAATTAACTATTGTCATTTTTCGTAAATAAATGTTAATTATTTAAACAAACAATATATAATTTTAAACAACAAACTGAATTAAGCAAGACAAATAAATAAATTGTTATGTGTCAAATAAAATATACAAACATAAATAAATTTGATTTAAAAATATGAACAAATTGCTCCAGCAGTATATAAATAGAAGTTTAAAATTGTAACAATAAAAATTGATATGATAAAACCGGCTGTAATTTTTAATAAACCGTTTAAAACAGTTTTAGTGACCCCTAATACCTACATGTATTTTTTGCGAGTTGGAGTTTGAGTTGGAATTGGAATTTATTGCATCACGTGAAAGACAGGGCCGGAACGCGTGCGAAACGCACAGTGAGGCAAAAAGGCATGAAAGGCCACGTCGAGCGACAGTGAACTTGCTGAACAATGTGAGTAATGTAACAATGTATAATTGGCCTTGCGCTTTTTATTTCCGCTGAACCCGATAAAAGGCGTGCTATTTGAAATTCCACAAAGTCAACTTACCTCAACGATTTGCTGTATTTCGGTATGTTCCTTAGTTCGGTGTAGCGCGCGCTAGAGGCGGGACGTTGCGTTTTTTTCTCGAAAGGAGAGTGCTGTCGACTTTTCATCCTATAAATAGAAACCCTAAACAAAAAAAAAATCGTTAGTGCACTGCGCACAGGCAGAAAAAAACACCAGCCTCTATGTATTTTTTAAATTTTTAAATTGCTGTCATCTGTCAAAAAAAATAACGTGCTTGAGTGTGGCCCCGATAAATTAAGGACATAAAGGAAATTGTGGCCACTTAAATCTAAATTTGCAATTTCCTTTAATAATGTAAGAAACAGCATGTAGACTTCTTAATTTATTAATAACAATAACTAGTTATTACATTAACTGCTGGTGTTTTTTTGTTTCAAGGACTTAAGGCTCATTGTTAGTTTGGTATTTCTAATATTTACTGTTAATTATTTCTTATTAATATTTTACAAAACTGTTAGGAATAGGATTTGGTTTTGTTTGTTTTAAAATTTATTAATTTATTATTCTGTTCTCAAAAATCTACATACATCATCCAAACATAACACTCTCTAAACAACATACCCAATATACTAAAACATATCACAATATCAATATTATTACTACTATTATTTTTATTAATACTACTAGGGCTTAATTTTTACAAGGAACTGGATAATACTTGTTTGTTTAAAAAAAAAAATAACGAATTATTCCCTGAGCAACGTGGGTGCAAATTCTCTTAATCCATAGATAATAAATTAGTATCACACATTCAATTTAACTAGCAGCAAAAAATAAACCTGAAACAAAGAAAAACATCGTTAAAAAATGTGTGCGGAATGGCCCCTTAAGGCAATAGATAAATGCGCAAAAATTAAAATAAAATTAACAAAACTAAGGTTATTTGATAAAACAATATCACCATTATGGTTTGAAATAATGCATATTTTTTTATTTAATATTTAAAAAAATTGTTCACGCGTTAAAGTTAGTTAACAATTTTACGATTTTTTTAACCCTGAAGTACATCATGAGCAAAAGAATAAGCAAAAACAGATTTCGGATGCGGAAGCATATATACTATAAAAATAAAAAAATGTAAATATTTTTTTTAATTAAATTAATATTTAAAATTTAATAAAGGCAAGTTTTATTCAATAAAAAGTAATTTAGCGCCCCACCCTGCCAATAAGCTTGCTTATCTTTAATGTCGCTAATTCTAAGCTTTCGATATTAAAAATGGGGAACCAGACGCAGGAGCGGATGTGAAAATGTTTGCGGAACTTCCGCAAAACAGATTTCGGATGCAGAAGCGGTAGCATAAATACTATAAAAATAAAACAAATGCCATTATTATTAAATTAATATTTAAAATTTAATAAAGGCAAGTTTTATTTAATAAACAGTAATTTATCGCCCCACCCTGCCAATAAGCTTGCTAATTTTAAGCTTTAGATAATAAAAATGGAGAACCAGACGCAGAAGCGGATGCGAATTTTTTTGCGGAACCTCCGCAGTTTCGGAAGTAGAAGCAAAACTTAAAAGTAATGCACATTTTTGTTTATCGAGGTTATAAGCTTTTAAATATTGAAACTTCAGGATTAAGTAAATTCATTTTTTTTTTAATCGGACCTTATATAATTACACAGCCAAACGGTATTTCCCTAGTGATAATATCCGTTGGAAAATACGTGATGAAACAAACATCAGTTTATAAAAAAATCTAAAAATAAAAAAAATTGTTTTGCTTACCTCACCCTATAAAACCTGCCGTTAGGGATACGACAAGGGCGGCTACCGCCGTTAGGATGGGGCTGCTGCTCGCAGCAGTGACTGGCTCGGCCTGGTTCGGGGGTGCGGGAGGGTCTTCGGCCGTCATGTTGGAGTACCGATAGAGGAGGTCCATGATGACCCCGTTCGTCCAGCCGAAACCTTTTTGGACTTCGTACTCGCCGCCTCCGCCGTGTCCGCCTTGCACCGTCGAGTCGTACTGAAATTGGTCCAATTGATTTTTTTTTGTTGTTTTCGAGAAAATTCTGTTTTTCGGCTTGATAAACCTTGCGAACCGACGATAATTCGATAGTCAACAATTCCGATGTGAATTAATTAGATGTTTGTTCGAATGGTTAGCGTTTAACGTATAATTTCACGAGGAATTTTTTAATTCCGCAATTATTTGCATTTTTAATGTAAACTTTAATGCGAGATAATTCGACGATCTCGGTAATGTACGACATCCGTTAAAGCTTAATTTTCACATGTCCAAGCAAGATTAATTTCATGTGATTTGTTTTTTTTTGGATATTTTAAAATCAATTTTTCTTCGTTTATATCCGGTTTCCTATTCCTCAGTGTCATTGAGGTTTCTCTGTCGATATTAAGAATTCAATGTTAAGGTCATCATCCAATTTATTTGAACAAAGGACGCCCCAATTGGTACATACAAATGTTGCCAAATATAAATTGGCTGACAAGTCAAATTTCACAATAATAATAATATAAACAATAAACACACGTGCATTTAATACCTACGTTAAAAACATTTGGTTAGACGCAAATTGTCGAAATCTGAATTAGATAAACACCAAAATTTAGTTATATAACAAAATACTTTCTCTTGGAAATAACAAAAAAAAAACAATAATACTAATGGCTTGAAGCCAAAAAACGTCGATTGCTGTCTAAATTTAAAACTTTCAAAAGACCCATTTGTTTGTATTTATCGGAAGAATTGTAGTGAAAGAATTATTTTTAGCTAGAAAAACAACTTTGAAGGCGCGACGAAAATTAATTTCGATCATACCTTTTCGTACATGCCGTCCGACGCCTCGAACGCCTTGTAATTGCTCCTGACCCATTTTTCGGCTATCTCGAAAGCCAGCCTTTTCGCATTCGAATCGCCGCTGTTATTTAAAGCCACTATCATTATGTGCTGCAAAGGTGGCCAGGCGTTCGGGAAGTCCCACTGCTCCCCAGTGTGCTCAACAGTGGTCGGTATGCCGCCGGGGAAGTTCATTATATTTTTGTTTTGAAGGTATTTCATTATTAATTTTGTGCGTTGCTCAATTCCGACCTTACTGAAACACCCAGTCCACAGTGGGGCTATGTTGGTGGGATAAAAATAATCTCTTTTGACGCCGTTGTAGAGGTCGTAGTCGAGCCAACTTCCCACTTCTTCGTGCCATAAAACTTCATCGACAGCTTCCAGCCATTCGTCGGCTATTTTCCTATAGTAATTAGATCTACTTTCGTTGCCCAAAACATCGTAAAATTCCGAAATAATATCGGCGTTCCAGTATATTAAGGCATTCAAGTCTACTGGAACTATATACCTCGTCTTGGTGTTCGTCAAGTTACCTATAAAAAAAACAAATTTAACCCCTCAAACAATGTTACTTTATATTTATTACCTTTGTTAGAGGAGTTGGTTATAAACCACCTACTGGAAAAATCCCAGCCAGACTCCGCCGCGGCTTTGAGTTCCGAATAAAACAACTCTTTTTTAGCATCGTCCTTAAACAATTTGGCACCCTCAATGTCTTCCGAATAAGATTCAGGTCGCGGTCCTTTTGAATTATCAGCATATATCGCCAACCTATAGGTTTTGTCGTCTTTATTTATATGCCTAACATGTCTATTCATCCAAAACTCAAACTCCTTTTCCATCGTCAATATATTATTGGCGATAAACTCCACATCTTTAGTGTTATCGAAATATAATTTGATCATAGGAACCATCATTGGAGGTTGAGATCTGGCCAAGTAATATATACGACCGCCATTGGGGATGTGTCCGTGATTTTCCACAATAAACAGAAAATTTTCCAGGATGCCTTTAACGGTCGTCCGCATTTCCGATAAAAGCAAACCTTGCACTATCCAATAGGTATCCCAGTAGTAAAACTCTCTGAATCGACCGCCTGGCACTATGACGGGATGCGGCACCCATATTATACTATACAAATCCTGATTATCTTCGACGTGTTTCTTCATTTTCCGCCCCAACTCCTTCCAAATTGCATTCAAAGATCTCCCCCATTTTCGGAACTTTTCGTCGGCAATTTGGTTGAGATATTCGGGATGCTCAATCCAGTCCTGCGGATCCCAATTTTCGAACTCCTGACCTTCAGGCTCGAAATTGTCTTTAACAAATTTGATCACCTCTCCTCGGGAGGGTTTATGATCGTTGAAGCGTTTCATCCACGTGTAAAATATATCCAGAGTTTCGTTGGGCGACCTCCTCAGCTTCATGTCCACGAAGGTTTTCGAATCCGGGTAGATTTTCGCCATTTGTATGGTATCGAGCAGCGGTCCATGGCAGTAAATTTCGCTGCAAAATCAAGTAAGTTGGATATAAGCCAGCTTATTTAACGCGAGTGGGACTGGGAGCGCAAAAAAATTCTATTTGCGGGCAATTTGAATAATTTGTGAAGAAAGCGTGCACCAAACAAGGTCTTTTGTCAAGGATATTTTGACGCGGAAGGATTCGACAAGGTGACAGGGTAAACTTACCTGGGGCAGGTTGGAGGGATGTCTTCTTGACCTATACTAATTTTCAGCAAGCCTAATTCGAATATCACGCACAAAATCACTTTGTAATTTATTTGGTTTAAGTCCATTTTTCCCGTACAGACACTTTGCACTGACTGATATTTTAAATAATAATAAAACACCCTTAATTTTTCCTGCAAAGAAACCAAAAAAAAAGTAATTTCAAAAAGTCATAGTGACTTATGTAAAAAAAAAATGAGATTGAGAGGTGCAGCGTGCTGAACGTCTGAATGGTAAGCTAAGCACTGCTTAGTAAGCAGGTGATACGTTGTGCAAGAGCTTTACGTACTATGTGACGACGCCGACAGGCCTACTCGTTTCATTGGTGGAAAAATGACACACCTTTCAGCTCAACACGAAGAATTTTTTTGGAAAATTTAAAAAAAATATTTTGCGAATATTTTGCATAATAATTATTAGTAAGCATTACAAAACAATTTTCAAAACAACCAGATGTTTTCAAAATTAATTTTACCTATGAGTACAAATTTAAATGTAATCGAATTTGACGTGAGTAATTACCTTCCCCCGGTATTTTAAATTGCAGATTGATTTACCACCTATTGTTTAAATATTTGTTTATAAAATATTTCATCATCTAACTGCAAGTATAATAGGCAACAATAAGTTTTTTGCATCATCTAAATTATACAAGTCAATTTCAAATTAATTAAGTAATTGATAATATTATTCTTTTTGGCAAACAAGAAAGTTCAAAATACGTGTGTATTTTCGTTTACACTAACAATGACGTCAAATGGGTATTTCATTATGAGCTGTGGCACGTCACATCCCTATATATACCATAACCAAGAGTCCAATACTTGAATGTATAAAAAATATGAACGTTGTTTACGTCATGACGTAAATTGGGAAACCACACACTGTAATTATAATAGTTACCCGCCCAAAAAGACTAATAAAAAAAATAAAAATAAATAACTTGGCTTTTAAAACGTTATTTATTCTATAAATAAGCCGACAGGTGCGCGCTTCAGGAATATTTTTTTAAATATCAATTAACTTTGCTTGGCAGATGATGAATACATATTATTTATTTGATAATGAAGCAGCGAAATAAACAGTGTTACAGTATCCAAAAAACAAATTACATGCAGTAAATAATAAATGATGTTTTTGACAAAATCTACAGCAAATTAGTTTAAAAATTCAATGTGCAAAATTGTTTGTATAAGGCTTAACATTATAAAATTATATTTACTTATAAATTATAATATAAAATTTAATATCTCATTTTGCGTCAACTAGACATAAATTTATAATTATGATTATAAATTTAAGTTTCCGTTAATTAATAGGATTATGTATTTGTAACGTCTGTTTTATTAGAATATTTTCAATGAAAAATATTAAATGATAAGCAACTACCTACAAAGATTTTTTAACGACACAATAAAATTTAACGTGTTAACGTGTGTTAATTCGTTTTCTAATAAAATTAAATTAAGTGTTTATTTCCTCAGATTAAAATTCTTTAAGTAGCCTTAATAAATCAATATAGGTAATTAGTTAAATTTAAAAATTCGAAATACTAAAATGCAAAACTAGTTTTAACAAATGCACTATTTTAATGACCTTGTGAGAAGGTGGGTTTATGCAGACTTAAGACTTAAAACTTAACATTTAAGACTTAAGACTAATAAATCAATATAGGTAATTAGTTAAAAATTCGAAATACTAAAATGCAAAACTAGTTTTAACAAATGCACTATTTTAATGACCTTGTGAAACCTTTTACATAAATTACAAATGAAAAATTTTACCCAATAATTTTAAAATTAAAACAACGAATTCTAAACATGCATGAAAAATAACATGCGGCACTTACCGAACTGGTTTGAGAGATTGTAGGTAGGTAGGTACCTGAAACAATTAATTTTTGGAAAAAATTTGCCAAAAAATATTTTTCGAAAAAACCTCATCTGATTATTAAAAAATCATGGCAAAAAGTCATTTTCACTTAACAGTGAAGCTGCATTTAGAACCTTGGTGCCGAAGTGTTAAAAAAAGTGCAAATTCACTTTTAGGTTATGTAAATGTAATAAAATTGTATTTACCTAAAAACGAATTAAATGGTATCCACCTTAAAGAAAAACATTTGTTTAATGGTATTTGTTTATGCAAATAACAAAATTTGAACTGTCACAAATTAAAAATACAAAACATTTCACAATTTCACGACACCATATTTGTGTGCAGTTGCCAACTTCACAGACCATAGAGGTGGCCAAATTTTCTTGTATAATTATCGGTTAAAAGGAACTGAAATTGTTTTCCAACAATTCAATTATTTGGTTGGACTTTATTTTTTTAGTATACGTTAATTTTCTAGTTATAACCACTTGGCAACACTGCAAACCATGAAGACTAAATATAGGAGGAGGAACTCTCGCGGTGCTAATCCCGAACTATGGTTCGGACGTCGCACTGTGGGCCAGAAATTCTCTAAACATTGAAAAAGTCAATTTTTAATAATGATGGAACAACAAGTTTTTTTATGCTAAAAACGGTCAAGTAGACCATTAAGCTTACAAAAACACCAGAAATATGTCCGTGAGTTTTTATGTTGACACACGCGGGTTTTACAAATGTCGGTAAATTTAATACTTATGTCTGGTTTATTTTGTTTAAACAAATCGCTTAAGTTTAAGACATTACAGTTTAAGGTGGATTAACTTTTTGACAGAAACTATGAGTGGGCCAGATGCAGGCAATTCAAGGTTTTATACCATTTAAATTTTATGGATTTCTTTGCGAATTTACAAAAAAAAATAATGATTTAGTGAACGCATGTAAAAGCAAAAATTAACATATCACATGGATATTGCAACAGATATATATCAAGATCGACACTGAAGTACACGTTTTTGTTGATGCTCTTAAACTCTCCAGTACTTAAACTTTATTATCGAAAAAAAAACTTTTGCCGAATTTTGCCTATCCAGGAGAAAACGCAAGATTTTCTGTGTGGTATTTTACAATTTGATTCAAAATAAAGCTCTATTCGGGTATTAGTTGAAAGGTTATTAGGCCCAGATTGTAAAAGACTTTTTGAATATGTGATCTGTCATTTTGAAAGTTTTGACTTTTTTTTCGAAATGTTATATTTAAGGCAATTTTAGTGTTTTTAATTGATTTTTAATTTTTTTTTTGTTTAATCGTTTGAGCTGTGGTGCCTATAAATTGGCAGTAATTTTAAAATACCCTGAAAACAAGAAACTATTATTATTAAAAATCAAAATAGTTGAGTTTTTTTAATATAAAAAAATATATTAAAAAATATATATACAGTTTGACCCATTTGTTTGCGACTCAACCCTGTAAAATATTTATTTATTATGCGATTTTAACCGGATTTGTTTTAAGGTGTAGATCTTGATAAACTGTATTTTTTGAGCAAAAAACGCCATATTTGTACAAAATACAAGGCCTACTATGACAATTTTTAAGAGTAAATTTTTAGGAATTCATATTAGCAAGTTTTTTAAACAAAATCTAAACACGGCACTGGATTCACCACATGGCACTATTACTATAAGTTTAATTTTATTTCAATGTTATTTTCATGGATAACTTGACAGAATAAATTTTTGTAGTTAATATTATGCATTTTTATACTTAAAATTGTTCAATAAAATTTAGTATAAGGTCGTTTCGAGGGGTGGTGAATCCAGTGCCGTGCTTAGATTTTGTTTAAAAAAATCACTTATATAAATTTTTAAAAATTTACTCTTAAAAACTGACATAGTAGGCCTTGTATTTTGTAAAAATATGTCGTTTTTTGCTCCAAAAATACAGTTTATCAATATCTACACTTTAAAACAAATCCGGTTAAAATCGCACTATAAATAAAGATTTTACAGGGGTGAGTCGCAAACAAATGGGTAAATAATGTTTTTCCATAACTCAGCTTTTTCAATCTTATACCTTCGGCTTTGTATCGATTTTTTTAAATTTAAAATATAGCATTTTAAATAATTTTTTTGCATAACTCAGCTTTTTCAAGCTTTGTTTCGATTTTATTGGGGCCATAAGATGTCTATGAAAATCTATATTATTTTTTAAAAACTGTTGAAAAATAAATAATATATAGATATATAGGCTCTTAAAGTTCTATTTGTGACATTATTTCCATTATGACATCCTATATCTTCTATTACAAAACACAAGATCTTCAATAAGTTTTACAATTTCGCCCTGGTGGGTAAAGTTTGCAAAATAGCCAAATATTGTTAAATTTTACTCTGGTCTAACAATATTTCGTTGTCTGAGAAGCTGTTTATAAGTAAAATTAACTTATTTTTCTTTGTTTTTGATAATTACATTATAAAATTTGATACATTTGTTGAGTTTGATATTTTTCAATGTTTTACAGAATCCTGGCCCACAGTGCGTCGTAGGCATGCGCATTTGTAATAAGAAGAGATACAAAATCCTAGGCATGCGTATTTAAAATTTGTAATTTAAATCAAAGAATGTTTATGATATTTTAAATAATGTTCTGTTTGTTCAACATTTGCTTGGCAATTGCGTTAACTTAAATAGCGTGCGCAGAAGACTACAGATGCGCAAAGTGCTCACCGCGCATAGCTGTCATCCAGTGGGTAATTTACAGGCACAGAATTTTGCGCATCCGCTGGCTAAAGGTTTTAATTTAATCTATGCTTCCACCTATAGCAAGTAACACCTCCTGTAATACAGGACCTGTGTTCGTCTTCTTGGTGCGACGGTATTGTCAGATTTCAACGCAATTTAAAAAATAGAAAAAATAATTAGAAACCGTATTTTTTTATTATTTAATTAATGTATAGTTTATGATTGTATGGTATCGCTTAGAAATGATTACTTAATGTTAATAAAAAAGGTTGTGAGGGGTTTTTAAGGTTTATTTCGGTGGCATTGTAAGTTGGATTTGGCAACGTGGAAAGAAATGGTATATAATCTGCGTGCAGTCGGTTGCGCGTCATTGTGTTCCTTTTGTATCGTTGACTTTATAAAAAGAATTATAAATTAATAACAAAACCTTGTTTGTAGATTTGTAGTTAGGATTCAAAATTTAACAGCTTTAATAATGCCCGTAAGGAAAGCCGTGCACGCGGGCAGCTGGTACTCAGATTCAGGTAACGTACTAAACATTGATCAGCTGGTGTATTTTCTTTATTGTATGTATGACTTTTGATGGCATTGACCTTTTCTTTTGTTTATAGGGCCCGAATTGTCCAGACAATTAGACTATTGGCTTAACCAGGCCGATGTGACGCACGGCCCTGCCAGGGCAATTATAGCCCCGTAATGTTGCATTCTTTATATTTTATAATTTTTTTGAAAAAAATATTTTTTGCAGTCACGCTGGGTACCAATACTGTGGCGCTTGTGGTGGGCACGCCTACAGACAAATAAGTCCAGTTGTTGTCCAGAAAATTTTTATCCTGGGCCCTTCCCATCATGTCCGTTTAACTGGTTGTGCCTTGAGTGCTGTCAAAAAATACAAAACACCACTCTATGATCTTAATATAGATACTGCAGGTAATTCAAGTATTACATTGTTTAACAACCAATTATTAATATATTTTTTTAGTTAATAAAGAATTGGAAATGACGGGTCAATTTGAATGGATGGATGTTGACACCGATGAAAATGAACACAGCATTGAAATGCATTTACCATACATTGCAAAAGTCATGGAAAAGTAAGGCTAAAGCTATACAAAATTCAAATGTTAATTATGTATGTTTTAGTTACAAAAATCAATTTACGATAATACCAATATTGGTTGGATCTCTTACTCCAGACAGAGAGGCATACTATGGTAGAATCTTGTCCTCCTATTTAGCAGACCCTAAGAATTTATTTGTTATTTCTTCTGATTTCTGTCATTGGGGACAAAGGTTTAGATTCACACACTATGACAGGTCTTATGGCAGCATCTACCAATCTATCGAAGGCTTGGATAGACTAGTATTTTATTGATTTAATTTTTTTTTGCCTGTTAAATGCATTTATTATTTTAGGGTATGAGTATCATAGAAAACTTAAATCCAACTGAATTCACGAATTACCTCAAAAAATATGGCAATACTATATGTGGGAGACATCCCATTGGAATTTTACTACAAGTAATAGTCTGAAACCCGTTTTACACACTCAGATTTACCATACTATTGCTCAATAGTTTTTGCGCATCTACTTGCGCGCAAGTGAAGTAGAGACTACACCAATAAAAATTTCGGTTAAAGCTGGAATTATAGTTACACGTAGACATAACGTAGACGCACTGCAAAAAGATCAACTATAAAAATTACGTATAAAAATTTGTAGGTTATTCAGTACACAACTACGCATGCCCAAAAATTCCGTTCCGTCGATTTATAAATTGAATAATTCTTCCTGTCTTTTTTTTTACGTATCCAGTGCGTCTACGTCCAACTATAAATCCAGCTTTACTGTCCGGACAATTTGTATAGGTATAAGATAATAGTTTGATTGTGTAAATCAGGCTTAACATATAACATAAAAATGTTGAGTACAAAAATGTTTTTTAGGCAATACAAGAACTTCTTCGTAATGACAACAGTCAGAACGTCAGCCTTAAATTTTTAAGATATGCCCAATCAAGTCAATGTCGTAATATGAACGACTCGTCGGTTAGTTACGCTTCTGCAGCCCTTGTGATCGAATAGTCGACTGGTGGCCTTATTGACTTTCGGAACTCGTTAACGGCAACTTTTTCTTTGAATTTAATCGCTAAATATTAAGCTTTATTTAATTTTCCCCTTTTTTTTTGTTTTGAGCATCCCTGTATATGAAACTCGATGCGTAGTCTCGAATTTAAAATAATATACCCAATGTGTTTTTCTACTTTTCTCATCAAACAAGTCGAATTTGTTTTTATTCGTCGAATTTTCTCACTTAATTTTGATGGGAATTGTAACTTTTTACATAGAATTAAGTAGTGTTTAGTCTACTGGGAAATAGGTTTGTTCCAGCGCCGTCGTCAACCGTACCGCCGTACAGTGTTGGAACAAAGATCATGCCGTTAATTTTTTGTAATTTTTAAACTAATTTATTGTTTATTATTATCATTATGAGACCAATTTCGATTATTAATTATTTTGATTGTAAATAGTTTTCCCAGTAATATTGATTAAATGTATTCGCTGAATAAGACTGTAAAATGCAAAATATTTGCTTATCATGAAGTTACACACCTTGCAAATATTTTTCGTTTTCTATACTTACAAATTATACTTAAATGGTTTTGTTACTATATTTTTTATATGATTTTATATTAACGCAAGATAATTTTATTTTAGTTTATTTAGTATAATTATATACATAAATGGTTTATTAGATCTTACACAAAGGATTGTGATTTTTTTATTAATTATTGATTTTTTTTTGTTTTCGCCCGTAAAAATTTTTTCAAGGCAAATTGCCCTTGAAACATTTTTACCCTGACTAAATAGAATGAATTTGCAATATCAAATTTGTCTTAATTTTTTTATATGTCAGTGTTAACAACATTTAGTTATGATATACAATGTAATTGTCCTATATAGGCCTACAAATACCAGTAAGCCTGAAGACTGTAAATTTACAATATAAAAAAGTACATATGCCTTTTAAACGAAATCAATCTATTCATTGTGAATACTGTGAAAGCAAATTTTATATCAATTCTTGTAACACAGACAAAAATATAAAAAAAATATTTTAATGTTATGGTTTTATTTCACTATTAATTTTTATCGTTCATCACATTTAAAATCGGTGCCTTGTTCGACCATAGATATTGGAAATATAGATAGATCTGCGGCTACATTAACAGCAATCATATGTGGTAAAAAACGGTTATAGGTACCGGTTATATGATTAAATAAATGTATTATAAATACGTTACGTTAAAAATTAATAGTGAAATAGTGTTTCTAGGGTGGTTTTTGGAGATAATTCGAGTTGGGTGTGCCGTGTGTCTACGGCTTTGTTAGGTCTATTGTACCCGGGTGAACATAACAACGAATGAGAACAGCGACCTACATAGCAGTGCAGCCAGTGCCAATCTAGGTGAAATGAAGTTGGCACAACAAGAGAAATCGCCTACTTGTGTTCCCTATGTTTGTCCTAATATTGATAAGTTAGGTGTTGTTGTTTGGCTTAAAAAGTGCTTAATTGTGTCTATCGTTCAATGGAAGATGTAGCCTTCGCGTGGCCATCGAAATAGACAACGCACGACCAGTTTATGTGACAAAGATAATTGTTTTTCGCTCGGACGATATAAACATGGCTACTTCTCTCGCTCGACTTTATTTCTAATACATTTCCGAATGGTTGTTAATGTTTCGGAAAGCTCAGCTAGTTTACGTGGCAGTATGATTATTCGACGCCCAGGTACTAAAAATCACATATTTTCCAATTTCTACCCTTTAACCTAACGACATTTACCGTAATCGCCTGTGTTTACAAAAGCAATTTCTCCTAGAACCACCTAATAGAACCCCATACCTTAATATTAATACGTAAAGTTTTACCTACAAACGACCTATTTATGATGAGCTACAACATTTCCCAACACAACCTCCATATTATTGGCATTTATTTTAATATCAACCTATCAAATAGACGTAAATTATATTTTTAGATTGCGCATTCAAAACATGTGCTAAATAATAAAAACATTCATATTATGCATTCATTCGCTCGCATTGATTGATTTTAAATACATTTGTCAAGGTTCTAAACAAAATTCACTGTACATCTGACATCTCCATTTAATTAAGTTGCTTATTGTTTTGCAAAAGTTTCTTCACACAATGGCCCTTTAACATTATCAAAACTTTTGCAGGCTGTGTCTGCAAGTCAGGCTGTAGTCTGGGCAAACTATGAACCTATTTGGCTGCATATTCCCTTGTGCACTGCAGCACAGTTGGTGGAGCATTGGCGGCAACGAGCAGTGTATGTCAGAGGAATTCGTGCACAGGATGGGAGTGAACGCGTCTTCGGCCCCGGGAACGGAGCCCAACTCCGTCACCAACGGTATGGGCGACTCTTGCGGGCCCCCCTTTAGGGACACCATCGGTGTAGTCGTTAGGTAAGATCAAAACAAACTGTACTCAAATATCATTTCTTGTTGAACCGTTTCGGTGTATGCGCAGTGTGAACTTATTATCATAGCAACTGCGCATGCTAGTTGTTCTCAACTAGTTCCGAACAAGATTTTGCTATAAATTAGAGGTGACGATAATATCGATATTTTATCGATACTATCGATTATTTGCTTTTTTAAATACTATCGAAACTATCGATATCGACTTCGATAATATCGATACTGATTACTGACAGCCAATGTTGCCAGGTCTACTAATTTTTCAGTAGACCTACTAATTTTAATCAATTGACAGTCTAAAATTTAGTAAAATCAGTAGAAACGCCTGCAATATTAATAACATAATATATGCTTAGTTAAAAGTCTAAAAATTATTTACAATTTTAACCAAGCAAATTTATCAGCCTACTGATTTCTACTGGCAGTGAATAAATATATTTGAGCTGGCAACACTGTTGACACTCGGTATTATAGATATATTTCGTTTTTTTAAACTATCGATAATTTATCGATAGTTTTGATAATTACGACCATGATTATCGAAACTATCGATATTTTTTTTTCATCACTATCGTCACCTCTACTATAAATGTCCCTAGTCAATAAATCGATAGATGGCGCCACTATAAAACGGACAATAAACTGCTTATTCGCCATAATTTGAACTTGTTTTCTTTTTTTAAATAATATAAGTATCACAATCTAAATTTTTCTTAATAAACAGCAAAATTTACCTAAAAACAAAATCCATGTAGTAGCTCCTGGACTACTACAAAATTGTCATTCTTAGCCATATTTCGTTTGTTTTTGACAAAAATGTACCGTCAGGGCTTCTAGCAAGTCATTTTAGTCATTAAAAATCATTTTTTTCTGTTGTGGTCATTTAATGTCATTTTTTGTAGGGATTGGTCATTTTTGATCATTATTTTAGGTTCTTACTTAATGTTTATAAGATTTTTTTGGTAAATAATACAAATAAAATGGAAAATCTACGCCACTTTAATTTATTAATCTACACCACTGGTAGTGCCGCGCTGGTGCCACCTGTTAATAATTTTAAAAAGTTGTAAATATAATTCTTTCTTTGTTGTTCTTATTCTTTTTTTCATTCTTGTGTCTCATGAAACACACTCCCGCCATTTTCTTCTAAAGAGTGCGTGTTTTGCTTAACCTAAAAGGCGAGAGCTCGAGAGCGAAACGTTTTATTCATTAAAAATATGTAATAATGTAAGTAAAAACTAAATAAATAAATTGAAACCCCAATTAATTTGCTAATTCTTTTAAGTTAATTTTTTTAATTTTATATTTATTTGTTAATTTATTTTAATTAATTTTATCTTGTTATTGTTAAAACAATAAAGATTAAGAATAAAACTATTTAAAAGGAGGTTTTAATACTATTTTCCAACTTAAAATTTATTTTTATTAGGATAGAAAGTCATAAAATAGTCATTTTTTTAAAGAAAAAGTCATTATTTTGTCATTATTTTTAAAAAAGGAAGTCATTATATCATTAAAATTTTCAATTTTTTTACTAGAAGCCCTGTTATATATTTTTGATTTTCTTTTAAATGATACCTAAAATAGTAAACCTAAAGAATGTTTTGCTGTATTATGCAAACTTCATATTTTTCTACTATGAGATTTTTGAGTATCAAGACCTTTCTCACAATATAAATATAACATAATTTGATTGGCCTAGTTTTTTATCCAAATCCATCGACGCGTTTTTTTTTATAAAATAAAGTGTGGTGAAATTTCTACTTGTGTATAAACCTTAGATACGATTATATACAAAAGTAGTAGTTTTACCTCACTTTTAATTTTATTCAAAAAAACTCGTCAAGTGATTTGGCTAAAAAACTAGTCAATGTAACTTACTTATTTGTACAAAATAAGTGATATTTATTTATATTTTCGTTCAAAAGATTTATTTATTTTTTTCTTATTTTTAAGAACTGTGTAGAGTTGTTTATTATTTAATTACAGAAATTTAAAAAAAAGTTTATATTATATACTTCCTAAGAAGTTCCAGAAGCCAACTGAATGGCTTGAGCGGGTTAGGGGTAGGAACGGACCGCGGGCTTAAAGTCCCCTCCAATATGACAAACACAAATAAACATCCATACCCCTGGTGGGATTCGAACTCACGACCTCTCGGCTTGTAGTCAGCAGCACTAGCCACTAGTCCACCGTCGGCGGTGCATACTTTATTTCTTCTAAAATTTTCCAAAAAGCCTCCCAAATTCCTAAATAAAATTTGAAATTTGACCGTGGGAGCCCTGCTACAACTTTTTCTTTTCCTAGATATCTTCAAACATATGTTTTTCTTTTAATCAAAGTAACATTTTTACTCAAACTCTATTTTCGCTAGGGTTCTTAAAGAACCGTTTTAGTTAATTTTTTATAAATATTTTTTTAAACTACTAAGATCTTTTTTTGATTTACCTAGAACCTCCTTATAAAGTGGCACTATCTTGTTCTAATTGCCATACATATAATAATTTTATTAACAACTAATATATTCCATAGTACACTTAATTTCATATTAGTATAACTTGAACTTTTTTGTGAGCAGGGAAAGGAAAAAGAAGGTGACTGGCTTCGCCACGTTGAAGAAGAAGTTCATACGGAGACGTAGATCGTCGAAAGCTTGCGATCACGGTCGAATGTTGAGAGAGTTGGTTTCGGATTGGGGACCGTTGGAAGTTGCCGCACTGTTGGAGGAATACGAGGCGCTGGCTGCTTTAAAAGATCTCTGCGTGCAAGCGGAACTGGCTCGGCCGCCTGCTGCAACATTTAAACAAGATCTCTCTGCGCTCTACGACTTCAAGTATTGCACCGACGCCGATTTAGTTTATAGAGGGGCGTGTTTTCCGATACACAGGGCCCTGCTTTCGGCCAGGTGCCCCTACTTCAGAGACTTGTTGGCCGGGTGCCCCGGGTATGGAGCGCGCATATGTTTAGAATTAAGAACTGCCACAGTGGATGTACAACTATTCTCGGCGCTACTAAGATACTTGTATACCGGCGATATTTGTCCACACAACACCAACATTGATATGAATCTCTTGAGAAGACTTAGGGAAGAGTTTGGCACTCCAAACGCACTGGAATCCGACTTGAGATATTTGCTGGAGACCGGCGATTACGCTGACGCCTCTCTGGTCTTCACATCGGATGGTTCCGACTGCCAACGGCCAGACTCGGGAAGTTCCGAGTACGGTTTCCGACCGAAACTCGAGCTGGCCTGTCACAAGGCCATACTATCGGCCAGATCTCCATTTTTTAGAAATCTACTGCAACGAAGGTCCCGCACAGGAGAGGAGCACACCGAAAGGGCTTTACATATACCCACCAGGATTGTTCTTGATGAGACTGTCATCCCGAAAAGGTATTATGCGCCACGCGCAGCGCCATAACTCCGTTCTATTCTTCGACTTTTTCAGGTACGCCAGAGTTCTTTTGCACGCTATTTATTTGGACCAAGTGGACCTGACTTTGATCTCGCGAGGAGGATGCGGCGGCGGTTTGGGCGAGGCGCAAGCCTTGGCCCACACAGGCCGCGCCCGCCCCTCGCCGCTGGAAGAGGCAATGGAACTGTACCAGATAGGGCGATTCCTCGAGCTTGATATTCTGTCACAAGGCTGTGAAGATTTAATTTTAGAATGGCTGTCGCTAGAAACACTGCCTAATGTGCTGCAGTGGGCCCGGCAACCGCACGGATCTGCATGGGTTCACAGACAAGTACTGCTCAATTTATTTATTGTTTTCTTGCATTAATTCCGTGTTTCAGGCGTTACATTTTCTCCGCGAAGAATTTCAACCGGTTTCCCAATCGGCTGTGTTACATCAACTGGATAAGAGCCATTTAATCGAAGTACTGAAAAGCCCCTTTCTACAGGCCAGCGAACTCGAAATATTGCACGCCGTATTGAAATGGGGCGAAAACGAATTAGTTCGTCGTATGGAAGATAGAGGTACATATCGTTACCTTAAGATGCGCATGACGTAAGTCACGAAACCTAAACTTTTTTGGCACTTCTGAAATGTTTCGGTTTGTGACTTACGACATGTGCATCTTAAGCAGAACTGTCGCAATTACTCTTAAATAGTAATTGAATTACAATTACCAATTATTTTGGCCAAAGATTATAAATTATCAATAACCACAGATTAACAAATGTAGTTCAATTACCAATTACCATGAAAATTAATTGATTATACCGTACCTTCATTTGCAAGTTATACATAGGGAAAATACATTGTAGGTGGAAAAGACAAGTCAGCGCGAAACGAAAATGTTCCCAGAAATTATTTTGAAGAGTGGATGAGTAGACTAACATGCGACGTAACAGGTGACCTTGTTTACTGGCGATTAAAATTTTATTACGTCCAAATAATTTCTGAGAACTTTTTCGCTTTGCGCTGACTTCAACTTGTCTGGTCCACCTACAATGTGTTTTCCCTATGTATAGCTTGCAAATGAAGGTACGGTATAAGAAATTATTATAATTGAAATACTTTTAAATAATTGAATTACCTAAGAATTGTTAAAATACAATTACCATTTTTTCTCTGTAATTGAATTAGAAAAAGTAATTGAATTACAATTTAGCTCTGATCTTAAGGTATAGAAATATAGGATGTAAGGACTTTGTTTCGTTTCAGAACCGAACATTGTTAGTCATACTGCGCACTCGGTCGCAAGGAAGGGCGTGAAGAAGCGAGATCTGAGCGACGTGGAACTGAGAGAGATTCTGTCTGATTTGCTGCCTCTGGTGCGTATGGACCACGTGCTGCCGCCGAACAGCGACATCCTGAACCAGGCGATCCGACGCGGTTTGGTTAGCACGCCGCCGAGTCACATGATCGGCGGCGATCGGGAGAATTTGCGCGTGAACGCGTGGATACGCGGCGGCAAAAACAACGGACTGTTCGTGCAGCCGCGCCTCTTCATGCCCTACTACGACGAAGTGAAGGTCTTGGTGGAGGATCAGCTCGTGCAGGAGGTGGAGATGATGCGCATGCGGCGCGCCAGGTACATGCAAGACATCCCGGACACTTTGTACATGGTGGAGGACAAGCCGAGGCCGCACGGCGCGCAAGGCGTCGACGTGCTGGCCTCGGTGCTGCCGGTGCCGGATCCGGCGGTGATGAACGCGATGTTGAAAAGGGAACAAAAACTCAGGCAATCGCCCGGTTGCCAGCGCGCTCTTAACATGCCTTTATCCTCTCGGCACGAGATCAATCGCCAAATTCGATTGAGAGTTGTGCGCGAGTTCAACTTGCCGGATCCCGTGGCCGACATGTTGGAGAACTGTTTCTGCGTACCGGACCAAATCGATAACGAAATCGGTAACGTTGATTCGTCGCCGAACAAGGGTTTAAACGCGGTGCAAGGCAATAACGGCAATGGTACAGGGCACGGATGCGTGGGCAGGAACATGACGTTCCCGAGACCGGGAGCGGGCGCAGCTATGCACGGCCAAAGGCAAGAGCTGCCCGCCGTCGTGCCCGAGGGGGATTTCCGCTTCAACCCCGAGCCCGAAAGCAGCTCGTGCAGCGACGGCCACTTGTCCGACATAATGCCGGACGTGGCCATGGCCACGGCCACCTTGGGCCAAATCCAGCTGCAGGAGCAGCAAGAAATGGAGCTGGATTTGGGCGACGGCACCACGCACATCCACAACTCTCAAGGCATGTCGAACTCCTTTAACCATCCGGTCTCCTACCGACGCTATCAACCAGCTACTTATCCTCATTTGAGAGCCGAATCTTCTTACCTTCCACCAATGCCTAGGTTTTTATAGTTCTAAGTTCCCCCCCCAAACCCTCTCTTCTTTCATTTTGCTTTAGTGTATTGTATATAATGCGTTCTTTATTAAGGTCCGACATTGTTAGCAAACACGTTTATATTTATTGTGCGAGGTCGGTTCAAAAAACACACTCCTGATGCGCTTCTTTTCTTCAGCTCCTTCTTTGATAACAGACCACCAAAAATGAGTCATACGCTTTTTAGTACGGCTAAAATATGATGTTGTTTTTTCTTCCAAGACTGATCTGCACAAACATTGTTCCCACAGAGCATTTGAACTATTAAATGGACGTCCATTCGACAGTCATTCAAATACTCGGTGGGAACAAACCTCAGATTTTTTTTTAACAGACGATATTATTTTCCGTCCATTTTTTGTTTGTCGCCATTACTTCACCAAAAATACGTTTCCATGACAACTTTACTTTACTATGATGATTGATGTTTGTTAATAATGTTGGGCGCGTATTGTACATCTGTGATTTTCTGTGAAAAAAGAACATTCTAGTTTTTAATGATTGTATTTATTTCGAAAAAAAAACGACTCTCGTGAGTTATTATGTAATTTGAAACAAATTGCGATAGGTTGTGTTCAAACATAAAAAAACGGAAAAATGAGTTAATTCTGTATTGATGTACCTGTGCGTGTTTGATTTTTAGATGTTGCTGTTATATATTTAGACTGGTACCTATGTGACATGTGTATGGAAAAAGTGCAATGAGTACTTATTAAAAATTTCGAATTATTATTTTTTAACAACGAATTGTATTAAGTTTAAAAATACACAGACTTCGGATGTAATGAAATTTGTGTGCCGATTATGTAATTGATGCAAGATTGTTTTTTATTAAATTTTTATTTATTTTTTTCGTTTAAAATTGTTGATTGTTATTTTGGTGAAATGATATTGATATTAAAATTAAAAAAAGTAAACGCATCGTGTTACTTAGTGCATTATTATAAAGTATTTATTATTAAAGAAAGTACTTCTTAAAAATTGAAAAATATAGTCATATAAGGAATAATTTGTATATTAAATGTGCTTTTTTGTTTTTGCTGTGAAACCAAAAATAAGGAATTTAAAATTTGTGCATACATACATACCTTGGAACAGAATTCAAAAGTACCTTAACGTTACAGGTGAACAAAAATAAAAATTGTAATATACGACAGAAGCGAAAAATATATTGAATATTAGTATATTTTTTGACATATATACTAATTAAAAGTATCGGACGTTGCATTAATTACATTTTTTTTCCAGTTGTTTGCATATCATATTTATTAAGGCCCGTTTGCAAACATCACAGTACCAGTCGCCAAAAATCTCTTTGTTCATTACAGTATTACGTTAGTATTTCTTTTGGAGACTGGATAGCAAATTTGGAGATTTAATTTAATCGCCAAAATAATTATAATTCACTGTACTTATTTATTGTCCTAGCTTAGGAATTTAATTGTTTTTAAGGATACTGTTTTTGTTATATTGTACATAAATATTTGGGGACGCGCGATGTAAGGGTAGTAAAGTGAACATTCCCCATGTCTAACATGGGGCAGGAATTTTTTAAATATACTCTGTTATGTAATTGTTATTATAAGTTAAGTTACGATACGGCAAAAATAAAAATAGTAAATTATTGTTTTCCAGACCAAAATTTATAGAACCACTTGGGCAAAACAAGCACTTAGTGTTGCCCACTTTTCATTTCCTATAAGAATTAATATGCAAAATGGCCTTTTAACTTTAGTTCACAAATTGTCTGTGATTAATTTTTATTTTCAAGTTATGATGTTCAAAACGTATCTATTATTATCTTATAATTTGGTTGATGTTTGCAGATCACCATTTTGTGATATGTATTGTAATCTCAATTCTTATAACACATACATGTTTAGCTAGATCTTTCTGGTTTTATAGGCTTCTACAGTTTAATAGGATTTATTTTATTCTTAATATATGCAATTCAGGGTATCATCATGAACATCTGTATGTTTATTAGTATTTTTTATTTTATTTTTATTTTTTGGTTTCCAAAACATTTATGTATATTTCTATTGTTAATAACTTGAAAGACAATGTAGCTTATTTTAATTTATTTCAAAGTGTAAATACATTTCAAATAAAGAAACTTATACTACCTTAAGAAAACTATCTATCGAAATTTTCCCATGTATTTTTTAAAACCCGTTGGTAATAATTTTGGTTGCTGCCGCATTTCAATTCAATGTTTACAAATTCAAAACAAAAATTGTGTGTGGAAATAATGAAATGTGTATTTATTTCGAAATGTGAATTAAAAATGGTCTTCCCCCATGCTAAGTGTTCATTACATTTAGTAATTGACCCAAAAATTTTGGGAACATTTTCCTTCCTCCACTATCATGGATAAGTTTTTTTTCCATCGCTCATATCGCGTTCTATTGGTCACACAAAAAACGGACTAAATAGTACATTTTCCGACTAGTGTGAGAAAGAGGAGATTCCTCGAGCGTGGAGTTTGGTATCTCCTCTCAATAGTCGCTATTTTATTCAAAAACCATTGACTCAATGCAAAAACTACAAAGAATCTGACAGCTGTCAATTAGTTTTAACCTCACTTTTTTCCAAATTTAATTTAAAGCCAACTTCAGTCTGTGGGCGAAATTCTATTTCTCCCACCAATTGGTAAAAAGTAAGGTTAACCATTTGACAGATGTCAGATTTTATTTATTTAATTTTGAAAATCATTTAATTATCTACTTATTGGAGTAGATAAAGTATAGTATTACACTCGAGATTATGCGCAATATTCACTCGGATGATTTAGGTCTCTCGTCTAGCGACTCGAGATGTGAATATTAGCCTGCATTATCTCCTTAGATCATACCCCTTGTATGATCTAAGATTATCTCTCGTATAATAATATTATTGATTTTGCCAATTTGAAGTTTGACAGAACAACTTAATAAACCCCGCTAGATAAACTATTATCCCTATAGGTCTATAGAGCAATTCAAAGAACCGGTGTTCTTTGGAGCAATTCTTACAATTAAAAGTAAAACAGCGGAATATATTTCAAATTAATGCGGGAAAATATAAAATAAAAAAACAATCACGGAATCGATTTAAATATAAACTTGTATGCGCGAATGTTTTCATGTTTGGCCGGTTTTTTGCGAATGTTTTTTTCGGCCAAAAACAGCAATAATTAAATGAAAGGTGGGGATTTATAAAAAGAAAACATGAGTGGAGCAGTTTACGGAGGCGGTAAGTGAAGTGGGAAGTGTAAACAAGATTTGTTTATCCTAACCTACAAATTTTTCCAGACGAAGTCGGAGCATTAGTTTTTGATATTGGACACAATTCCTTGAGAGCCGGCTATGCAGGAGAAGATAGTCCTAAAGTGGATATACCCACTTCTATTGGTGTATGGTTGGATTCAGAGGAAGATAATAAACAAAATTATAACATTGGGGTGCTATCCATACATGTTCGAAGACCAGGTAGGTGGCACTTTATAGTGTTACAAAAAATTCTTACCTGTTATTTTTAGAAATGGAGATTACTTCATTTCTTAAAGAGGGCATGATAGAAAACTGGGATATGTTTGAAAACTTGATGGACTATGTTTATAATAATGCTTTGAAAGCTATCCCGAGAGACCACCCTATATTACTAACCGAACCACCTTGGATTACAGCTCCTAAAAGAGAGCAAATGGCGGAATTAATGTTTGAAAAATATAACGTTCCAGCGTTATACCTAGCCAAAAATGCCAGTTTAGCGGCTTATGCAAATGGTAGACCAACATGTCTAGTAGTAGACAGCGGAGCTACGCACACAAGTGCTGTACCTATACATGATGGGTAAGATTAATTTATTTATATCTAATACATACAATATTATGGCAACAACATTATTTAGGTATGTTTTGACGCAAGCTGTGGTGAAATCACCAGTAGGCGGAGATTATTTAAGCATGCAATGCAGAAATTATCTTACTGAAAGGGGTATTGACATTGTACCGCCCTGTATGGTAGCCTCAAAAGAATTGGTCAAAAACGACGAAAACCCCATATGGAAAAAAAGGCCCACACCTTCAAATCTCACTGACTCCTGGATGAATTACATGATAAAAGTAATCTAGTAATCTAAGAGTAAGAAAGAGACGAATGTTTTCCCCACCCAGCACAATCAGAAAGAAAAATCTTAACTTTTCATTATTTGTTGAAAAATTAATATTTTTCGAGCAATCCAAACTTATTTACGTATAAAACTGTATTTAATTCGTCGTTAACATGCGCGTAAGTGAATAATTTAAAAAATTGAAGGTTTGGAGTGAGGAAGAAGTTGTAGGTAACAAACTGCAGTGCTGAAAGATTCTTTTTACTTCTGAAACACATCAAAACAGTTTGCACAGGGTGTATTTAAGATTTGTTTAAGGGCATAGATAATCTAAATAGGTTAGGGGCCCATTTGTGAGTGTTGAGCTATGGTGGGCCGTCTCTTTCTTACTCGTAACCTATAGGAATTTTAATAATAAGCCATTATTTATTAGGAAGTAATGCAAGACTTTCAATCTACCGTTTTGCAAGTTTCCGATAGTTTATATGACGAAGAAATTATAAAAACGATGCCGGCAAGTCAATACGAATTTCCCAATGGCTTTCATAGGGATTTTGGGGTCGAGAGGTTTAAAATACCGGAACCTTTATTCAACCCAACCTCAAAGGCGGGAATACAACAACCTATTTTAGGCGTGGGACCTTTAGTGACAACTAGTGTTGGGATGTGCGACATAGATATCAGACCAGTAATTCAATGTGGTAATACAAATATTTAACATGTTAACTGTTAATTTGTTTAAGGCTATGTATGGTAGTGTGGTTGTGACAGGGGGTAACTCTAACCTACAAGGTTTTACCGAAAGGCTGAATCGCGATTTAGCAGCTAAAACACCACCGGTAATTTTTATAATGATTTAAATTAAATTATTTGAATTTAAATTGTTATTTTTCAGAGTATGAGGTTAAAAATTATATCAGCCCCTGGGGCTTCAGAAAGACGGTTTGGGGCTTGGACAGGGGGCTCCATTTTAAGCTCATTGGGCTCCTTCCAGCAGTTATGGGTTTCGAAGCAAGAATATGAAGAGGGAGGCAAGGCTATAGTCCAATCAAAATGTCTTTAAATTTATACGTGTTCAAGGCAAATTTTCAGTATTATTTTTTTATTATTTTTATACATTATAGACTGACCATCTTTTACGGTTGTGATTTCGAAGGCAATATTCAATTTTTTTGAAAATTTTTTATACTTATAATTGCTAGTCTTAAAACGTACTTTTATTTTTGTGATATTTATGTTTTTCGTGGCAATATGTGGTTCCTATAATATTTGTATTTTTGTGTACTAGTTTTAATGAATATGTGCCAATATATTATACAACATATTTAAATGTTTAACTAAAAAAAACAATTAATCAAATATATTACGTATATTATATGGGTATATTAATACACATGATTAGGTAAAGGTATATCACAAATTTTATTATGGGCAAGCATGGAAAATATTCCGGCCAGAGTTATACCGCAACTGTCCGCAAAACTGGTCATGGCCATGGAAAATTGCTTATTTTCTTCAGGCACTTCAGCGGAAATTGTATAAAAAGTATTAACGTACGCTGAACCACCCAACAATCCTTCCCATAACGTTAGAGCAATCACTATGTAAAAACTCGGTACGTAAAAGTATATAACTTCTGTTGTGTATAAGGCAACATTCACAAGCTAAAAGTAAATATTTCAATTTAAAATACAGCACATAAAATTAAACAAATAATACCTGTAGAATAGCCAAAATATAAACTCGTTTTATGTGGAATAAATTTACTGACGATCTGGACATAAGGACTCCTAATTGGTAAGTTACTTGTAGCCATCTATATTGTGCTTCCTTGTCCACAACGGCGTTATTAAAATTGATTAGCTCAAACTAAAAATTCAACGTTACAATGTGGTTATAATACAGGGTGTCATGTACTAAATTATCATCCCTGGGGAGATGATAGTTCACTCAAAAGTAAGCAAGTTTTTCCTCTATCACTTTTGCATTAGTGGTACTGTTTTTGAATAAAAAAATCATGAAAATTAACGTAATTCTTGAGCATTTATTTGGCAGCCACTGGATTCGTAGAGTTGTTGCTGACGTAACCCATTAAATGTCTAAGAATTACGTTAATTTTCAAGATTTTTGTATTTAAAAACAGTAGCAATAATGCAAAAGTGATAGAGGAAAAACTTGCTTACTTTTGAGTGAACTGTCATCTCCCCAGGGATGATAATTAAGTAGATGACACCCTGTATTATAAACCAAATAATGTACCAATCCTTGATTAATAAAATACTCGAACAAATAAACCAATCCAAGGGGGACCATATATTTAGCCAAACCAGGCAAAAGTCCTAATTTAGTCCTGAGGGATTGTGTCGGAATATCATCCTTATTATCACTAACATTATGAACGTCAAATTCAGAAGGTTTAGGTAATAAATACCAAAAACTAAATAAAACAAATTTAAAGTCGCATATCAACAAAAAAAATATCAACTTACGATAATCCCATGGCCAAGGGCACGACTAGCATTGCTAAGAGAGCATTTCTCAGCCCTATGGCATTTAATAGGACGTAAGATAGCGCCCCGAAAACCCCCGCACCGCCAGTACCAGAGCTCCAAGTAGAAACGACATTTCTAAAAAATTAATTTGATATACTTAACAATTTCCTGCAACTTGTTTTTCGTACTTATCATAGAAAGAACTGTATTGTAGATATGTTATTTCTCCTAGACCGGAACTGAACGAAGTCAAAACTACACCCAGAATCGCTAAAGGCATCGATTCGCTAAATGCCACCAAAATAAAACTGGCTGATGCTAAAACGATAATCAAAGCCACTCGAACGCTGGAACAAATCAACAAGATTTGATTATTACAGTAAGTAAGATTTTTTTTATCCTTGAGGATTAATACCTACTACTGTATATATATTATATTAGAAACTTGTGATAACATTCTATTTTTAAAACATATTTTTAACTTTTACTTACTGCACGAAAAATGGTAAAAACGGCCCTATAATTTTGACCAATAAGCAGGGTAAAACATCTGCCAATAACACTACACCAGTGGACATATACGTACAATCTCTAACTTTACTTTGTTCATTTTTGTCCGAAAATTTCTTGATTATATCCGCAGCAGCTGCTAACATAACAACATACCCATAATTATTGCAAAGTCCTAGTAACCAATAGGCTATAAGGGTCCTAATTTTTTTCCTTTTTTCGCATTTTGGACAACTATTTTCCGTAGAACCTAAATCGTTCATATTTCACAGATAACTAAAATACTAATACTAATACTAAAATGCTAAAGATAAAATGATAAACTATTTAATAGTTAAAATTAATTATTTATAATTGTCACCTTAATATTTTTATTTTAATCACGGACAAGGCTAATTGTAAGGCTATGCAAGAAAATCACTTGGAACAATGCAATAAAAAATAAACCGCAAGTACTTACAACATAATAATAATTGTTACTTAGTGCATTATTTTTATAAAGAAAGTTATCTTGTTGTTTTTAAAATGTAGGTATATACTCTGCTTAAAAATGTGTTGCAACGCAAATGCTTTTATTGATTCCCGCACATACGTAACTAAAAATCTCTGGAAATAAATTTATAAACCGACAACATTTTTCCGTGCGTAGGTACTGAGATTTAAAAATGAAACAGACGAATAATTATTTAATTAACTTTAAAATATAAACTTAAAAATGTTTAATGAAATGAAACCCTTACATCCATAACCATAAAAACAAAATTGACAAATTTAACATTGCAAAATGTGACCGTTAACAGTACCTTGCTTATTTTTTTTTTTAATATATTTAAAAAACATAAAAAGATATTTTTAATAAGAATTTTTTTTCTAAGCACCCTCAAGTTCTTTACAGCTAAAATGTTGAAAAGGGTGGATACAACAAATTTCTGTAGGGTGCTAGTCAATTTGTTTTATTAAATGTGGAAAAATTTGGTTTTATAATTAAAAATTTTGCTTAGCACCCCTTAGAACTTTATTGTATTTTATTTGTTGAACAATAAGTCATTATTATAAACAGAACTCGGGGTTCTTTAAAAATAAATTAGTTATTAAAGTGATTAAAGTCAAAAAAACATTTTTTTTAGTTTTTCCATATTTAGGTAATAAAAATGTTGCCTAGCCCAGCAGTAGATAATTAAACTTTGCTCGTAAATAATTCAAAATAATTGAAATTTTTGCTTGAAAAATATAAAAACCCTTGCCTAGCACCTTAACATATTTGTTGTCCAGAACTCGCTTTCTAGTCGGAAAAAAAGAGTTCTAATTGATGCTAAGCGAAATTTTTAATTAAATATTAAAAATGTTCTATATTAGTTCAGCCATACTTAGATAGATGGCGCTGCAAATAACATTGTAGTTAGGCAATTAGACTACAAAAATTATTGATCCAGATTGCCTACCTACAACATTTTATTTTAACATCGCCATCTATCCAAGTATGGCTGAATTTTATCTATGTGAATTAATGTACTGTAGCGAATTATTTAGTTCAACAATTCTTTTATAGATGGCGCGGCTTATTTAAATTTTAATTTATTTTCCTCTTTCGTTTATCTAAATTTTATCGTTGTAAAATTAATTAACCTTAAATTGTTTGTTTAGGCAGACGAGCCAAGAATATCTCTAAGCGAACAAAGACAATTGAGCCACACCGAACCAAAGCGACCATGGAGAATCCAATCTGAGCTGAGGATCCAAGAAGACGAAGATTAAGATTAAATAAATGTTACCTTTGTTTAAATAAATGTTGCCTTTTCTTACTTCAATAAAATAATTTATTTTAAAATCAAAGCATTTTTATTTACACCCCTGCATTTTTTCAGAGCAGTTTATTTAAATTTTAAATTCACAAAGCCCGCCATTTTGCGATGTTGCCAGATTTCTTAAAAATACCAGATCAAGGTACTTTCTTAATACATTGTCGATCTGGCAACATCGCATAATGCGACGTTGCCAGATCGACCATGTATATTATGGAAATCTGGCAACGTTGCAAAATGGCGGACGAAGCAAATTTAAATTATTAAAACGGCCATTGTGCGACGTTGCCAGGTCGACCATGTATATTTTGGAAATCTGGCAACGTTACAAAATGGCGGACGAAGCAATTTTAAATTATTAAAAACGGCCATTGTGCGACGTTGCCAGATCGACCATGTATATTTTGGAAATCTGGCAACGTTACAAAATGGCGGACGAAGCAATTTTAAATTATTAAAAACGGCCATTGTGCGACGTTGCCAGATCGACCATGTATATTTTGGAAATCTGGCAACGTTACAAAATGGCGGACGAAGCAATTTTAAATTATTAAAAACGGCCATTGTGCGACGTTGCCAGATCGACCATGTATATTTTGGAAATCTGGCAACGTTACAAAATGGCGGACGAAGCAATTTTAAATTATTAAAAACGGCCATTGTGCGACGTTGCCAGATCGACCATGTATATTTTGGAAATCTGGCAACGTTACAAAATGGCGGACAAAGCAATTTTAAATTATTAAAAACGGCCATTATGCGACGTTGCCAGATCGACCATGTATATTTTGGAAATCTGGCAACGTTGCAAAATGGCGGACGATGCAAATTTAAATTATTAAAAACGGCCATTGTGCGACGTTGCCAGATCGACCATGTATATTTTGGAAATCTGGCAACGTTGCAAAATGGCGGACGAAGCAAATTGAAATTATTAAAAGCGGCCATTGTGCGACGTTGCCAGATCGACCATGTATATTATGGAAATTTGGCAACGTTGCAAAATGGCGGACAAAGCAAATTTAAATTATTAAAAACGGCCATTGTGCGACGTTGCCAGATCGACCATGTATATTTTGAAAATCTGGCAACGTTGCAAAATGGCGGACGAAGCAAATTTAAATTATTAAAAACGGCCATTGTGCGACGTTGCCAGATCGACCATGTATATTTTGGAAATTTGGCAACGTTGCAAAATGGCGGACAAAGCAAATTTAAATTATTAAAAACGGCCATTGTGCGACGTTGCCAGATCGACCATGTATATTTTGGAAATCTGGCAACGTTGCAAAATGGCGGACGAAGCAAATTTAAATTATTAAAAACGGCCATTGTGCGACGTTGCCAGATCGACCATGTATATTTTGGAAATTTGGCAACGTTGCAAAATGGCGGACAAAGCAAATTTAAATTATTAAAAACGGCCATTGTGCGACGTTGCCAGATTAACAGCGTCGCCCATTTTGCAACGTTGCCAAATTTCCATTTTGTATCGTTAATGAGGGAAAAAAAGAAACAAAGGAATGTTTTGAAAATGTTTATTTAATTTTTTTAATAACAATTAAAACATAAAAATAACATAAAACATCAAACTTTTGACTCTCGTCGAGTTTCTAAGAATGGCGGCAAAAGCGTCATCAATATCCTGGAAATAATACAAAAAACATTTAACACCTGTAAAAATTACCATAAACGCTAAACTTACGTTTACTAATCTTCTAATTTGACTGTGACGTAGGAATCTTTCTTGACTGAATGGAGTTTTTCATGATTAGGTATGGACTGATTTACAGGATTAAGATCTGCTCCAACACTTCGTTACTAAAAATAGATATTACCCAGTAAGCACCAAACATTCGGCAAACAGTCGGCCTTTGCTCGGCATAGGCGGTTGACCGGCGGTTCGGCTTGCCCCCAGTCGTCCCGCTTATGGCCCGCGTTATGTTAGCCCGGTACCGTTTGGCCATGTTCTAACCAAAGTCGGCCAGAATACGGCATGCCGATGCAAAATCGTTCGGCTTGCCCGCTTACGGCCGGAATACGGCCTGCCGCGGCATAAGCAATACATCCCACGGCGAGCTAACTATAAATAGCGATGGGTTGCAATATTTAGTTGGAAGTGTGCGTCTGTAATGGCATAGCTAAACATTAATTGTTTAAAGTCCCCATCTCCATCCTCATCTGCTCAGTAACGAATAATGGCTAGCTATAGTCGAGTGTGTTAAACCTCTAGGATACACCTATCCAGGACGTCTGAAGGCTTTTTTTGAATTGCCAGGCTGTTGTGGCCGGCACTTGGCCAACTATACACAGCCGACACTCAGCCGAGTAAACATATCCGACATTCGGCCAGGCGGACATGCCCGGTCTACACGCCGAAACAAATACATGTGTCAAAACGCATTTGGGCCGTATGCGTGCCGGCTAGCTTGTGCTTACTGGGTATTAGTTAATTAAATTTCTCTAATTATAAACAAGCAAATTGAAATTTTTACTTAAAAAATTTAAAAACCCTTCCAGTAGTCTTAAAAAATAACCAAAGACTATAGCCTTTGCTCATAAGATCCCTCAAAGCATATATTTTTAGATAATTAAATTTCTGTATTTTTAAACAAGTTATTACCATATATAATTCAAAATATTTGAAATTTTTACTTGAAAAATATAGAAACCCTAGCAGTAAAGTCTTAACAAAATAAAATAATAAAAATCCTTACAAATAAATTATTGTTCCATGATGGGACTGGCTCCACAAACTGAAAGTCCCAGTCTCGCATCCCTCTACGATTCTTTCCACTTTAGGTAGTTGTTTGTTTTGATGAACTCTTTTCAGCGTTGCTGATCTCCAAGTAACGGTAAAGAACGAAGAAAGTTGACTTGAGTCTTCTCAAACTCCTGCTCATCAGACACTTGGTCTTTTGAGACACCCCCAAGAGTTTTAAAGAGAGGACTGCAGTCATGTATTAATCTGAAACAATATCTTATTTACTCTCCACAAAACTAAAAGTACCTACTACTCTTCCATGAATTTTATTTGAGTAAAAACGATTTATTTAAGGAGAAATGACATTGGAAAAATTTAAAGAGAAATATTAGGAACATTATTCATGGAACGCCGCTTTACTTTTTATTAAACTCAGCATCCTGTATATCATTTAAATAGTTTTCAAAGCAACTTGCCTATTTTAATTACACATTAATTAAATTAAATGTATTATATTTTATTTAAATTTAAATGGAACATGAATTTTAATGATACCTATATAACTAAAGTTGAATTTCCATGACACATTTATGTCCCAATATTTTGGATTTTCATCTACAATTTTAAATCGCATACCATCAAAATGCAAATACCACTTAAATTCATGTTACTTTTACAATTTTTAGAAAATATTATTCTTGTTAAAAGTTTTTTCTTGAATAAGCAACACATTATTTTAATTGTCTATGGTTAATTTGCAATTTTGATTTTTATGAAAATTTTGGATTGATAAAAATCATTTTTGGTCAATTTTTGTTCTTATTTGTCATTTTCATGGA